TATTCAGCGTTCCCAGTGTCGCCGCATAGATTGGGGAAGAAGGGATTTGATTGCTAGTCTATAGACTTTTCTGTGCAAACATTCGTCTCTTGGGAGGATTTTTTTTTCTTTATTATATAATTTATTCTCCCTCTGCCATATAAATTGACATGATAATTCATATATTCTGAGGACGTAGATACAATGAATATCACATTACTGCGGTAGGTCGTCACATCCCCTCCCCCCACCTTTTTTCAAGTACTAGAGAAATGAGATGGAATCATATTCTTGCCTCCTTGTCTGATGTTTTATTTCCCATGACTACAAGAAATCCTAGCCATAAAGAACTAAATTCCTAAATAATATCCACTGATGTTCACTACTGGCCAGCAAGTGAGAATCCTTAAGTTGAATATTAAAACAGTTTGCATCTATTCTAACTAGCTGAGTGGAATGATAATGATTAGATTCTTTTTTTTTTTTTGAGAGGGTTTTTTTTTTTCACTATAGGGCGCGTGCGCTCGCCAGACAGACAGAGAGAGACATAGAGACAGAAAACGAGAAAGCACCCCCCAGGGGGGATGGTCACGCCGCAATCCCTTCTCCTCCATTCTCCTCTCGGGATCTTGGGCATGCACGCACACGCGCCCGGCGTGAGTTTTAAGCCACCGGGTCTGGGACACGAACCGCGGTCGACTACGTGGGAGTCCAGCGACATAGCCATTACGCTAACTGCTGGTTCCCATGATTAGATTCTTGTGTTTAAAATTAAAGGGAACGGGGCCAGCAGGTGGTGTGATGGCTAAGGGCTCTGGACTCTCACATGGTCAACTACGGTTTGAGTCCCCGAGCTGGCAGCTTGCTTTCTCACTTTCCTTCTCTTTCTCACTCTGTCTCTCTATGACCAAATAAAATAAATAAATAAATAAATAAATAAAGCTCAATAAAATAATTCTTTAAAAAAGAGATACAGGAAAAGTGTTTTCCTTTTACTCAAACAATAATTGCCAAACTTTCTTGCGTTTGTCCATCCACAAAAGGTTTTGTATCTAAATTGAAGCACAAAAACAACAAGTCCCAGTTTAAGGAGTTTCAGACATTTATATCGGACCAACGGCTGCACGTCACTGCAGACAATCGTCACCTACTGTATCCTTTCCTAGCAACCAGGGTGGGGAGTGGGGTTAGCGGGGCCCAAATACACTGCTTACAGATTTCCTGTTTATCCCTGATTTTAGTCCCACATCTTATACTTGCCTTCCAACATTCCTAGCGTTTCAGAGTCCAAGGCTCTGAGGTCTGCAGAACAGGTCAGTTTCCTTCATTGAAGGAAAATCGAAATGTTAGTGGAGGCAAACCCTATGGGGTTGGAGAGGTATGGGGGAGCAAATACCACACTCTGTCCAAGTTCCAGCCCAGCTGCTGACTTGACCTTGGAAATCATGTTACCTCTCTGGGTCTCCATGCTTCATCCAACCTCGTAGACTCCCACAGTCACTCCTCAGTGATAGAGGCATCCCATCCTCTCACCCACCTCTAAACAAAGCAGCTGGGACTTTTCAGAGATGAGCCATGAAGCGCCTTATGGCAGAAAGTCCCTGGGGACCCTGAAGAACCTAGAAGGCTCCCGGGAGGGAGCTAAGCTGGAAGCCCGAAGTCATAAATAGCCATTCTGTGGCCATTAAAGGGCCAGGAATATGAAGTGCTTTATTGTGATGGATGGTAGACCTCTGCCTAGAAGGGGCTGAGTCCAGATGGACCTCAGAGGAAGCTATAGAGGTGACTGTGCGCTCACTCTTCTCCTCAAGGACTATCTCTAGCCTGACAGGATGAAGAAGACAGCAGTCCCTGGGGGTCAAGTTTAGCACATGGACCAAGAACACGGTGGCTGTGCGTGTGCACCTGGGGCTTCTGGGAAGGCAAAAGAGCTAAGGCACTAGCAGTGACTCTGTCTCATCGATGGGTTCCCTTTGAGCTGACTCAGGGAGGAGAGATGATTGATTAGCCTGCAGGAAGTTTCGTAGAGCCCTCAGAATCCACCCCTGTCAGAGAAGAGAAGGAAGCAGGACTGGCAGAGGGAGGTCAGGTGTAGTGTGCACGGTGCAGTCGCGGGCGGCTTCAGCAGACCCCAAGGTGAGCTCTGAAGTGGGGATGGTCGTTCTGAGTTGCGCTGAGTTAGGGTAAAGGGGCCAAGACATTATCTCCCTGCACTGGCCAGCCATTAGATGCTGGCTCCACCAGGAACAGGGCATGGGCTTGGGAAGGCACTCTCTTCGGCCAAGGACAATCAGCAAGACAGCTGACAGCTGAGATCTGTCAACCCAGAACCCGCCAGGTAGCTGGGGAATAATCCTGCAGCACTGAAGGGGGACCTAGGAGCACAGGGCAGCATTTGCATCAGGGCCCCCATGGTGCTGTGTAGATCATTAGCTGCTTTTAAATTCTGAGAGCAGCATCTTCAGGACCATGAAGCATCTTCTCAGCATCTCCTGAAAGAAAGGGTAGTGAGAAACTACGGCTCCTCCTGAGGCATCACTGATGTAATCACTTCCCTCTCCTCCTATCCATCCTAGGTTCTTCTCATTCTCTGCTAGCACCTCCCATGGTCTAGAGGCTTATGTGGTTGGGTGGCCTAGGCCCACATCTCTGAAGAGTTTGAGCTCCTGGTTATTGTGCACCTCTCAGACTGTGGCTGCTGTTTTCATCCACTTATAATTTTTAAAAGAATTCTTTTATTTAACTTTATTTATTTTTAATTTAACCAGAGAGAGAGAGAGAGAGAGAGTGAGAGAGAGAGAAAGTGAGAAAGCAAGCCACCAGGTCCGGGACTTGAACTGCAGTTGGCCATTTGGGAGTCCAGCGCCCTTCACCACCATGCCACCTGCTGGGCCCAGATCTACTTATTTTTGTCAAAATAGGGCAAGAGAGTACTAAGAGCCACCTGTGTGGAGCACATGGTGCCAAACATTCCTCCCTGCCCCTCTTGAGTAGCCGCAGCCTACTTCCTTCCTAGTGACTACTCTTGCCGCTGATTCTTTGGCACAAGAAATGTCTGATGCCTGACACCTGCTAGTACATTTCTTTCTCATGATATCCCTCCCTACTTACAGTCTTACAGCTTCCCTATGCCGGAGGCTACGTGTGTTCCTCCTCTACTAGGAATAGGGTCCTCATTATACTTAGGCATTGAGTGATTCAGCTCCTAAACCCCATCTAAGCATCTACTCTTGCAGATCATCTCTGGCGCTACCTATTGTGGGTTGGATTCACAAGAAACAGATGCAGTTTGCAGGGTGTATTTGGGGGACTACTTCTGTGGGGAGTGGTAAGGAAGCAGAAGTAGGCCAAGAAGTCCAGCCGCAGTGCAGTCAGAACAGGCCCTCAGAAGACCCTCGGGGAGCTCTGAATCTGTAATGGCCCTGCATTGACCAATCATTGGGTGCCAGGTGCCCTGGACAGGTGTGATCCTGGGCAGGGGGCTCTCAGCCAGTAGCAGGGTGTGAAGGTTATCAGTCCAGCCCCGAAGAGGGATGTGGGCAGCATAGCACAGAGTCCATAAGAATTTACACTCTGTAATTCCACCAATCAGTGTAAGCTTGGCACCTGCTCTAAAGAGAATTTTCAGCCTGGGGTGAAGGGAAGGCTGACGGACTCTGTATACCAGACACCGATATGCTTCCCTCACAGGACCTTGAAGGCTGACATGCTTTATTTCTACAAACTCACCATTCTGCTACTGCTAGGAAGATGGAGGAAAAGGATGTATTTTATAACAGAATTATTATTATTTTAAGATATTTTTACTAGAGGGCATGTGTGCTCACCATAGAGACAGAAAGCAAGGAATCACCCCCTTGGGGAGTGGCCGTACTGCCATACCTTCTCCCCATACTGCTCTTGAGATTTTGAGCATGCACGCACACACATCTGGTATGAGTTTCAAGCCGCTGGGTCTGGGACTCAAACCGCAGTTGACCATGTGGGAGTCCAGCAACATAACCATTAGGCTTCCTGCTGGTTCCTATAGTAGATTAACTTGCTGAGTAGACCCCTGCCCGACTGTCTGGAAGAAGAAACAGGTGATCTCTCACAAGGAACCGCCTGCAAGAGACTCCTTGAAGTCGAAACTGGCCTTTCGTATCAGTTTCTGTGACACGGGATTTATCTGAGAAACCCACCCTGGTTTATGGTTTGGACGGAACATCAGAAAGAACAGGACAGGCCGAGACCTACCCAGTTTACCACAGAAATCTCTGCACAGTGCCTGGCACCTGATAAGTGACTGATGATTGTTGAAGGGAGGGACATCCTGGGGCCAAGTGTTCAGCCTCAGTTTTATTAGAGTGGGGACGTATAACGACAGGTCTTACCTCATTATGTTGTTTTCTTTTTCTTCTAGAATTTTTTTTTTCGGATAATTTGTATTTTCCTTGGATTGCCTACTTCATCTACTTTTTAATCATAAGTTCTGAGAGGATGCAGCCCTTGTTCGTCTTGTCTGCTACTGTACTTGCAACGTCAGCGCAAAGCATAGAGCGGCTTCCAGTAAATATGTGTTGTGTGAGTGAATGTGTGTGGGAGGAAGGATTATTTTAGAGAAAAAAAAAGGAACCTTTAATTCTTCTAATAGTGACTCATTCCCCCCCTTAAGATACCCCTTAGCCTTTTCTCATTCAAAACATCCGTGAAAAAAGTGTAGTTCCCAAACTGTCAGGGCCGTTGATGTGAAATACCATTATGGGAAGTGCAGCCAGGATTCTGCGATCTTCAGCTGTGATCTTCCTTGGAGACCACCTCACATCTTTGAGACATCCTCCTCGGTGCTGCCCCTCCCTCCCCACTGCAGTGATTCACCAGGAGAGAATGAAAAGCCACCGTCCCTCAAGCCCTGAGCTTCTTCTCCACCGAAGTTTTCACTCGTTACATTGGAGGGCAATGCCCACGCCACGTTTTCCCGAGTCCACTGAGGCCTTGTGACTCCACAGCGGCCCAGCTTCTGGGTGGCGGCGTCGCGGCGCCCTCTGGCGGCCAGTACGAGCGGCGGCGCCCGAGGTCTAGCCTCCTGTGGTCGGTCCCCTCCTCTCCTGCGATGGGCTCGCCTTGCGCCTGCACCGCCAGGGTTCGAAACTGTTGGGAGTCAGATCGACTTAGGGAGGACCTCTTGAGCCGCCCGCGCTCCTGGGGCCATGGACAATGCCGCTGACCAAAGCAAAAAAGGTAACTAGGGAATGGTGAGGGGTGATGGCCTGAGGAGCAAGCCTTCCTCACTGTTCCTCTGTAAACGGCCACGGTCACGCTGCTTGCCTGGGAGGTAATCTCTTACGATCGATCTTCTATTCAGGTGTTATTTACGTAGAGCAAGATCCCCTCTTGCCCCATTGAGTACACAGCTGTGTGAGTTCGGACTTCGGCACACCCCCATTGAAACAGCACTACAATCCGGGCAAGGAACAGTTTCACCGCCCCCAAAGTCACCCTGCAGCTCCCTCACCCCAACTTATTTATTTATTTATTTATTTTTGTGCCCGGGGTGAGTTTTAAGCCACCGGGTCCTGGACACGAACCGCGGTCGACTACGTGGGAGTCCAGCGACATAGCCATTATGCCAACTGCTGGTTCCCCCTCACCCCAGTTTCTGACCTCCCCCACTGTGTTTTCTACAGTTTTACTTTCCATGGTGGATAATGTAGTAACCGGGGTCATGCGTGGAGCCTTCTGAGTCTAGCTTCTTTCACTTGCACCATCTTTTGAAACAGGGCTTTATAGTGGATTGAATCATAGCACATTTAATTATAAGATAAGGTCTGAACCCACACGACTTCTCCGTGTGCTCAGGAACCAGACACTCAAGGAGGGCACCTCCTACCCCAAATCGCTCTCATAACCCTGGGAAGTCCCTGAAGATGGTATCTTCTTTACCCTATGTTATTCTGATTCCCGCACAGGGAGCATCTGTGGCCTCGGGAAGAAGGTGGAGATAGGCAAGGACATCTGCTTTGAGGAAAGGGCTTAGAACCTGGCCAGCTCTCCACTCCCAGGGGCAGCGAGACGGGGAGCCCATCCTCAGCAATGCCCTGAAAACACCACAATCACATGGACTTGGCAAAGGCTTGGCAAGCTGCAATGTGTTGTCTTTTTAAAAAAACTTTTAAAATTTTGTTATGGGGCGTGTGTGCTCACTGGAGACACACTCACACACACACACACAACTTGAACTGTGTAGCTGGCCATGTGGAACCCAGCTGCCTTAACCATTGTCCATGCACAAGTCCCTTCTCCATTGTCCTCTGGGATTTTGCATGCATACGTATCTGGCATGTTTTTCAGGCTACTGGGTCTGGGACTTGAACTGTGTAGCTGGCCATGTGGAACCCAGCTGCCTTAACCATAATGCCACCTGGCTGGTGCTCACTTGTCTTTATTGAAAAATTTTTTATGAAATGCTGGAAAAGTTGGCTGACAACAGGTCTTCCCAGAAGCTTCCTCTTGGGAAAATAATCTGTCAATTTTAATGCATATTTCAACCCTTCCCATTAGTCATTGTGTCCAAGACATTTCCCACCAAAATGCTTTTTGGATTCATCTGCTATCCTTTCAACTGTCATCTCCATGATATGGTGGAATGACTTGTGGTTGCCCTTCTTTCCTCCCCTTTATTGCATGTGTGTTTGCCAGAGACAAGAGACAGAGAGAGAGAGAGAATCTCCCAGTGGAGTGAGGTCACACCACAGTTCCTTCTTCATTTCTCCACCCCATCAGGATTTTGGGCACACACACATGCACACATGCTTGGCATGTTTTCCAAGCCACTGGGGCTGAGATTTGAACCATGCAGTTGGCTATATGGGATCCAGCTCTCTAAACCACTAGGCTATGTGGCTAGCCCTGATGACCCTTTCATTTTTCATTTCTTCTCTGAATCTGGACCTGCAGTCCACACACAACAGTCAGAGGATTATTATTGTTTTAATGCAAATCTGATCATATTCACTCAGTTTCAATCACTTCTAAGCGTTTTCATTAAGGTAAACCTGAGAACCAGCCATCTGCTCAGCCTTCTCTCCTTTGCCTAAATATTTCCTGTTGGTCCTTCTGATCTTAATTGAAATTTTACCCACTCTGAGAAGCCTGACTCTTCTTCACCAGATAAGCACTTGGGCCTGTTGTTCACATAGAGCTGTCTGTCCCTTCATTGGCAGAGCAAAATAGTTTGTTATCTAATGCAGGGGTCCCCAAATCCTGGGCCATGGATCAGTACTGGTTAGCAGATGAGTGGCAAGTTTCATCCATATTTACAGCCACTCCCCGTTGCTCACCTTATGGCCGGAGCTCTGCCTCCTGTCAGATCAGCTGTAGTATTAGATTCTAGTGGGAGCGCAAACCCTATCATGAACTGTGCCTGTGAGGGACCTAGGTTGTGTGCTCCTTATGAGAATTCAGTGTCTGATGATGTGAGGTGGAGCTGAGGCAGTGATGCTAGCACTGGAGCAGCTGCAAATACTGCATTACGATGAGCTATACCATTATTTCATTATATATTATAATGTAATAATAGAGTGCACAATAAATGTAATGTACTTAAATCATCCCAAAACCATCTCCCCATTCTACCCTCTCTCCGATCTGTGTAAAAATTTTCTTCCACAAAACCAATCCCTGGTGTTGAAAAGGTTGAGGATTGCTGATCTAATGGATGCTGACATGACTGCTCTCTGTCTCCTCCATTATGCTGTGCAATCCGTGAAGGCAAGGAACACATCTGTTCTGCTCACCATGGTAAACCCAGGGCCTAGCACACCATCTGCATCAGTAAATATTTGCTATGTTAGTGGGTAGTGAATAACTAACATTAACTTACGACATGCCAAGACTGTGAAAGCTCTTTAACTGGCTCATTTAATTCTTACAGCAACTCTCCTTACTGAACACTTACTGTCCTTATTTTGCCAAAGAGGAAACTGAGGAATAGGGTAGTTAAGTAACTGCCCCCAGGGCCCTGGCTTCAGAACCCCAGTGACCACTGCCATGCTGTTGTCACGGAAGGACTGAAACAAGTTCCCCCTTTCTACTAGAAACAAAAGCCAGCCCCAAAGTCAAGACATCTGTACACGACTTGAGCAAGACGCGGCAGACGAGACTCACCGTGGGCAGCCTGGGCTTGGGCCTGATCATCATCCAGCATGGTCCTTACCTCCAGATTACCCACCTCCTCAGGAAGGGAGCTGCAGCCAAGGATGGGAAGCTCCGGCCAGGTGACCCTGGATTCCCCAAATCACGCCCCCCGGCCCCCATCTTCCCTTAGGTCACCAGGTTTTGGTGCAGCCCTAATGATATGATGACAATGGTTGAGTTGAGAACTTTCTATGGTCCAGCCAATTGCTACATTTAGATAGCCTTCCCTATTAGCGTATTCATTCATTAAATTCTTTCTTTTTTTTTTTTTTTTGGAGAGATTTTCGCTATAGGGCGCGTGTGCTCGCCAGACAGAGAGAGACAGAGAGACAGAAAGCGAGAAATCACCCCTCTTGCCCTGAGGCGAGATCTCACCCCTCAGATCTCGGGATCTTGGGCACACACGCACACGCGCCCGGCGTGAGTTTTAAGCCACCGGGTCTGGGACGCGAACCGCGGTGGACTATGTGGGAGTCCAGCGACATAGCCGTTACGCTAACTGCTGGTTCCCCATTCATTAAATTCTTATAATAACCCTCTGATAAGAACTACTATTCTGATTCCCCTTTTATAAGGTAGGAGACAGGTTCAGTGAGATTTGAGTTCCTTGTCCAGGTTGATTCCTGACGTAGATTCTGAATTAAACTACCTTACAGACAAAAAAAAAGCAGTTTTTTTCTTAAAGAATTATTTAATTAAAAAATTATTTTAAATTTTCTATAGGTCATGCACATTTACCAAGAAGAAATAGAGGGAGAAAGGAGAAGGGGAGGGAGGGAGAGAGAAGGAGAAAGTGAGAAAGTAAGCTGCCAGGTCCAGAACTTAAACCATGGTAGGCAATATGAGATTCTGCTGCCGAAATCACCATGCCACTTGCTGGCCCCAGGAAACAGGTATCAAGTAACTTGTCCATGGTCATGCCATGGAGCTGAGATTTGAACTCTGTCAGACTCCAGGGCCCGAGAGCCTTACCAATACCACCTTGCTTTTCTTGTCTCTGGACAAATGAATTCTCCATCCAGTTCAAGATGTGCGTTCCCAGTGCCTGGCCTGGGCCTACTGCTGTGCTTAGGAGTGGCAGAGGGACAGTGGACTGGTGAAGGGGTGAAAAGGAAAAACATTTCATGCCAGTAGACTGAATTCTGCCATTTTCTAGTTCTGTGACCTCGGACAAAGTCCCTTAACTTTCCAGGCCTCAGTTATCACATCTCTAAGTTGTGATAATCCCATTTTTGCCAGAGGTTGCTAGGTTTTGGTTTACTGATTTTTATGAAAAGCACCTTGAAAACTTAAGTGCTACAGAAATATTGGCCCTCATTTCTCTTGTGTTATTCTCAACTCACAGATTCTCTAGAATTGTGCTTTTTGTCTTTTTAAATTAATCATAGTATAGGAGTCTTAGTGAGTTAAGCTACTGGTGCAGCCGTGGCTACAATTAGACTCATCCAGGGAGCATTTAAAATGGACACCTGGGGCCCCTCTCTCCAGAGATTCCGATTCAATTGGTCTGGGGTTGGGATAAGGCAATTCATGGTTTCAAAGCTCCTTGGGTGATTCTAATTTGTAGCCAGCGTTTAAAACAACTGATTAAAGTAAATGATTCTGTTATGATACAGCGTACCTTACCTTAAAATCCAAAGCATTTTCTCCACATATCAATTCTAGGAAACTGCCAGGAGAGTTTTGGATTTCCGAGACCAACAGAACTCCAGAACAGCTCCTATGGGCTTTTCTGCTGCTTCTCCTCAGCCTCTCTGGTCAGGTGTCCGACGCTCGCTGGGCTGTGCAGGAGCGCACTCACACCTGTCACAGAATCTCATAGCACGGCTACCGTTACTGGGCTCTGAGAGGTCAGAGGCAGGCTTGAATTCAACTTTTTTTGGGGGGGCATGGGGGGGAGATTTTTGCTATAGGGCTTGTGCGCTCACTGGAGAGACAGAAACAGAGACAGAAAGCGAGAAATCACTCCCAGGGGTTTTGGCCATGCCACAATTCCTTCTCCTCCATTCTCCTCTCGGGATTCTGGGTATGCACACACACGTGCCTGGTGGGAGTTTCAAGGCTCTGGGTCTGGGACTCAAACCTTGTCGGCCATGTGGGAATTTAGCGATGTAACCATAACTTATACTTTAAGGTTATACTTTAAGGTTCAGGACTTACCTGTGTACTGGTACATTTATTATTTCAGTGCTTCCTATATAGAGAGTAAATGAGTATTTGTCCCAGGTATCAGGCAAGGTGTTTCCACTTTTATCTGATTTGAAGTTTATAACACTCCTGGAAGGTATTGGGTTGTTGGAAAAGTCATGACATATTTTTGTTTTTCTATACAAACATGCATCACAACTTTTCTGACAACCCAGGAAATAAGAGGCTTAGAGGATGTATTCTGTTCTAGGAACTTGTTCAAATTACACAGCTAAGTCTGTGGTCAGAGCTGCGTTTGAACCCATGTTCCTCTAGAAGACTCCTTTCTTTCTAGCCAATAGCCTAATATAACTGGAAATGAGATTTCAATACAGAGGAACTCCACAGCTCCAATCTCTTCATGACAAGGCAGCCACTTCTCTTTAATGTCTAGGCTTAAAAGTATCTGTAATTCAGTCATTTTAATTCATTAATTTCTTTTTTTTTTGAGAGGTTTTTCCAATAGGGCACGTGCATTTGCCAGAAAGAGAGAGACAGAGAGATAGAAAGCAAGAAATCACCCTGTAGGGCGGATGGTCATGCTGCAATCCCTTCTCCTCCATTCTCCTCCCGGGATCTTGGGCACGCATGCACATGCACCCAGCGTGAGTTTAAGCCACCGGGTCCAGGACTCAGACTGCGGCGGTCAACTACATGGAAGTCCAGCAACATAGCCATTACGCCATCTGCCGGTCCCACGTAATTCAGTCATTTTTGACAATGATTATGAGGTTTGGGGATGTGATAATCGTAATTTTGTTGGACTGTATTGCCTTCCAGTCCCATTGTTTCTTATCCAGGTGCCTAAAATTTCTCTCCTTTGATGTTTCTCAAGATTTCATTTTGATTTCCTAATTTACTTGAGTGTAAACTTATTTTAGCCAACCTTTAAGTTCCTTTTGGCCTGTATGGCTTTAACTCTGATATCCGAAGTCTTACAAAATTAACATAGCTTTGATGGTAAATACTAGTTGCCTACTGGCAGCCACCCTTACCAGGTCCCCTTCATTTATTCGTTCGTCCAGTAACCTCCGGCTGATTGTCTGCAGGCACCTTGCTAGCCACTGTGGGTGTAGTGGTAAGCCAGAAAGAAAAGGTCCCAGATTACATGGAACACAGAAAGCTTACCTAAATTGGGTGAGATGGAGTAAAAGAAATACCTATTTTTTTATTAGTGCCTTGGCTGCTGAAAAGCTGATTTAATATAGGTACCTCGTCGATACAAAGTTTATATAATGTCATTTCTGTTGCCCATTAAAATAGAAAAAAATGTGTAATGAGGTTGGTGTTCATAAATACCAAACTGGAATTTCCCGTGGAGGGCAATGTTAGTATCTATTGCCAGAGTAATCACATTCATACACGGACAGGTCTGGCTTGCAGCCAGAATGGTCAGGGAATTAAGCTGTTTTAATTTTCTGCCCTCCTGATAAAAGTCACGCTTTTACAACATAATTAAGCAGAATGCCAAGTCATAGCTTTCAGCCATAAACACTCCTTTTAACATTAGTTAAGTAGCACATCCAGTGAAGGTTGGGTTTTTTTGGGGGGTTCTTTTTTGCCATTGTAATTAACCTCCGCAGGTTGAGCAGCTGTTTCATACCTCCCAATCTGCAGGTAGCCGAGAGAAGGCTCATTTCATTCTGAAGTTAGTTTCAGATGTATTTTTTTACCCCTGGCTACTTGTTTGATCAAAGTAGGTTTTCTCCACCTTTATAAGTACTTACTTTCTTTATATTGAGTACTTTTGTTTCTGCGAGGCCTAGCACTATGTGAATTTGTCTGTGGCATTCCTTGGCATATCAGTGTGGTCCTGATTTGGACTCAGTGAGGTGTGGCCTCAGACTCTTCTCCCTGACCCTTTTCTCTCCTGAAGTGTCAGCTGTCTTGGGATGAGGGTGACCGAGGGTCCCTCGTTTTGCAAGCACAGAGGGGTGAACACATCCTTTGGAAAGTCCTTGGGAGTCACTTCACCCAATGTCAGCCCTAATGTCCCCCAATAGTGTCTGGCAGGATGTTAGTACTAGTAAAAGCTGAGGGCCAAGACCTACCAAGTATGAGTCTGTCCTTAAAAACCAAGTCTTTGTATTCTGTCTTCAAGAATGAATGTGTAGTGGCTAAGAGTTCTTCACTGCAAGCAACAGTAACAGTTCTATGAAGAACTGAATTTACAATACTAGAGTCTAAGAGATGAGCCAACAAGGCTGGAGAACCAGGCTCGGAAAATGGGAAGAGAACACAGGGTTATGTGTAACTACCCCGGAAACCAGATGCTCCTGTCATCTTCTGCCTCTCCTGCTCCATGCCAAGAGGCCAGGTGGCAATGCTGGTGTCTGACTCTAGTTTACAGGCCTCTGTCCTGGTTCCTGGGGGCAAACGGCTTCGGGAAGTTGGTACAAATGACTAATTGGCCTCTTTAGCTTCCTCCAGTTGGAGGTCCAAAGATTCGTTGCTTAATGTTCTCTTCCCACCTGCTGGGGCCTCTGAAGTTCCCTGGTTGACTATCAGGCTTCTCTTTCCAGCATTGCTCTAAATGTCACATCCCTTGAACAACATATTCCTTGTATACACATCTTAAATTTAATTAAACATGCTAACTGCCCAATGTTTTATACAGAATTGTTTTCCCAATGAATACTGTGCAAAGGTAGAAGTTAAAATGAAAGGCTTGCCATTAATATGGTCCATGGAAGGCACTGAAAATCATCAGGCAGGTATAACAGAAAGTAGGTCATTTATTCTTCACTTAGTGTAAGAGCTTTTTTTTTCTTTCTTTCTGAGTAATAGCCATTCATTTTATTTGAAACTGATATATTTTTAGAATCCTAAAATATGGTTCAAATTATAAATGGTTCTTAGCCTCTGTCACACCAAGAGCTCCAGAAATGTCTCAAAAATATAGCTATAGCTACCATTACACTGCAATTAAGAAACATCTTCATGAATTCATCTTTATGCAAGGGCACTCATGTCATGGAAATGAACATGAGTGTTTTTATTAAGTACCAAGCTCAAAAGGAACTGACGGTGTGGAAACCTCACACGTGACCCAGAAATCAGTGTGGTCACTTTAAACAATCATCTTAATTTTACTGAAACAGTTTTTTCTCCTTTCAGGTGATGTTCTGATTAGTGTTGGCCATGCCAATGTGTTGGGATATACTCTTCGAGAATTTTTAAAGCTTTTGCAACACACCACCATAGGAACAGTGCTACAAATCAGAGTTTATCGAGATTTTATTGACATACCCCAAGAATGGCAAGAAATATATGATTTAATCCCTGAGACCAAATTCCCAGTAACGCGGTAAGTAGTTCACTTTAGAAACTCTTTGTCACGATACAGAACCCCAGGGCCTGTGAAGCAGTGTCTTGGTTATTGTGAGGTATAATAAATGGTAAGGATCATGGTAGGAACGATTGGTGACACTACCAGCATCATTTACTGCATTTCTAAATTTTTTTGGAAAGGACCTAATATAAGGTGGCATGACAAAGTCAACTGGAGTTTAGAAAAACAAAACAACAAAAAAAAAACCCCAATCTGATGAGAACTGTCCCCAAACCTACCTGCACTTTAAAGTCATCCCTTAAAACACATACTGTAAGACCAGCAGGTGGTGAAGTGGTTAAGGTGCTGGACTCTCATTAGCCAACCAGTTTTAGTCTTGGACATGGCGGCCTGAAAAATCACACCAGGTATATGTGCTTATGTGCCCAAAATCCCAAGAGAAGAATGGAGAAGGGGCTGTGGCATGCTATGCATCCTGGAGGGTAATTTCTCACTTTCCTTCTATAGGGCGTGTGCGCTCACCATCTCTCTCTCATCTCTGGTGAGTGCACATGCCCTATGGCAAATGCCTAAAAAAAGTTAAAATCCTACTTTGTTCTCCTTTGCATATCCAACTTCCCTCTGGGTCCTTAATAACAATATTTAAGTCCTTTTAAGCGTCTCCCATTGTAGCGACCCCTACCTTAACTCTACTCCCCTCTGCCAGTCCTCTCCAGCCACTGCCCTGTCCCTGGCCTTCCCTTCCAACTTGCTGAAAGAGCTATAGCAGACATCTCCCTTTCCTCAGGAAATGCCAGGCCACTGCCCAGGCATTCCTCAATCCAACCTAGGCTTAGCTTTCATCACTCTGTTGAACAGCAACTCACTAAGCACACAGGGCCTCTTCCCAGGGTCATCTACAATCTTCATACTGCTGTTGGTGCTAAGGGATTCTTACGTTTTTAGTTCGCTTGGCCTCTAAGCAGCATTAGACACTTCATAACTCTCTGCATTAACTCTTCTTCTAAATTTCTTTCTTCTATGAGCGAGAGACAAAAACAGAGAGGTAACAGCCCCGACAAGGATCCCAACACCTAAATCCACCTCTAGCCTTTAGCCAGCCCTGAATCATGCGCAACAATGTGCTTTGTGTACTCGGGAAGATCTGCAGACTTGAACTGGGAACCGTCCCACGTGGCATTGCTTCATGTCGTGTTTTACCACTGTGACACTGGCCCCTAACTCCTGTTGGAATAACATTCTCCCCATCTGCGATTGCCCCAATACTTTAACCTCCGGTCACTTACTCTTGGCCTCCTTTACTCAGCCTTGAAATTCGAGGGTTAGTCTTTGGCTCTCTTCTCAATCTCCTAGGCAATCTCATCAATTGCTGTGGTTTCCATTACTATTCACATCTAATCATTCTCAAATACTATTTCCAAACCTGCATATTCATTTTTTAAAAAGAATTATTTAACTTCATTTATTTATTATTTTAATTTGACCGGAGAGGGACAAAGTATGAGAGAGAGAGAGTGTGCGAGTGAGAGCAAGCAAGCTGTCAGGTCCAGGACGTGAACCGCGGTCGGCCATATGGGAGTCCAGTGCCCTCAATCACCTGTGGGCCCCTATTTTTACTTTTAATTGCTAGAGGATGTATATACTTGCCAGAGAGGGAGAGGGAGAGGGAGAGAGCACTTCCCAATGGGGCACGGTTACACTGCAATCCCGGTTACACTGCAATCCCGTCTCCATTTTTCCATCCTGTTGGGGTGGATTTGGGGCACATAGCATATATGCCCAGCATGTTTTTCAAGCTGCTGAGGCCAAAATTAGAACCGTGATTGGCCACGTGGGATCTGGCTCCCTTAACCACTAGGCTATGGGGTCAGCCCTCCAAACTTGTATGTTTAAACACCCACTTCGTATCTCCATATGGATGTATCATAACCCACCAAATTCATATTTTAAATCCAAAGCCAGCTCACCAGTGATCTTTTGATGGTTCTATCTTACTGGGGAACAGTTTGCCTCGCTGAAGAGCTAGGAATTAGGAGTTGGCTTGATTTGCCCAGCTCTCTATCCTCCCACCCTACCTCTTGCCCTGCCCTGCCCAATCACTAAGATTTGTCATTTTACATTCTGTCTTCTCACATCTGTCCACTTCTCTCTTTGATCACCGTCATCACTCCAGTCAAAGCCACCATTTGACCTCCCACACCTACTTTCCCCCCTATTCATTCTCTACACAGAATGATGCCTTTACAAAGCAAATCTGATCATGGCATGTTCCTGTTTACAAATCTTCTAAGACTGGGCTAACTGGTAGCACGGTGGTTGGAGTGGCTGGATCTCAAGTGGGTGGCTTGAGGGACATGCTGGGCGTGTGTGGATGTGTGTCCCAGATCCTGAGAAGAGAATGCAGGAGAGGGGACTACAGCATGGTCATTCTCTCGGGGGTGATTTCTCATATTCTCTCTACAGTGAGTGTGATGCCCTATAGCACAAAACAATCTTCTAGGACTTCCATTCTTAGCACAATGCCAAAATCTTTACAATGGCCTTTAATGCTATTCATGGTTTAGCTAGCCTCAGCATATCACTCCAGCTTCATCTCATACCACTCTCCTATCCCTCTCTAGCCCACTCTGGCTTTCAGCTTCCCACCCTATGCTGCTTTTTGCCCAGGGGCCTTTACAATTGCTCTTTCTGTCTGCAACATGCTTAGAACTCTGTTCTTCAGTCCTCATCTTGAAGGCTCACAGTGCAAACTTTCTCCAAGCAGCTTTTGCAAGGATGCGTTTAACACTGTCAGGTCCAGCTCTCCTATACTCATACTTCCTCAGAGCATGGCCTTTACCTTTTTGCCAATTTTAATAAAATTATCTAGCCAACTGTTACCCTGGGAAAATGTACACTTCATGAAGGCAGGACATTGGTCTTTAATTCTGTAAACTTGCTATAGGACTGTCATATGGTTGAGGGCTCATTTATTCAGAGTGAATGAAAAATTGAAATTGAACTTCGAGTCTCAGATGTCACTTAAACGATCTCTGAGCGTTTATTTTTTTAAATCTGTGACACAGGACTAACGGACTCTTCTGAGGAACATATAGACAGGAAAGTGTCCTATAGAACACAAGAATATGTAGAATTGGGATCTTTTTCTTTTAATGACAAACTCAGTTCTCTGATGCAAGAGTGGTCTAAAATTCTGTCAGGATTTCTGAACACTAGTTGCTACAGTTTTGTATCTTTGCTTACTGGGGTGGGCTCAAAGAAACATGGCCAGAGGCTTTATTGCCCACATTACATAAGCTTTCTCCAGAGACTTAAAACTTGTGGCCCAAAGGATGTGTTTTGCTCAGCTCCAACAGCATTTACAAACCCTGGAGAATTGCTGACATTTCAATATATACTTAAAATAAACAAACAAAAACAAACCTAACCAAACCCTAGAACTATTATCAAATGTGCACAACATAATGTGTAATGTTCAATGAAAACAATGAACGTCTGTATCTTTTATTTGATTACAGACTCTACCCATGCTTTGAAAAACCATACTGCAACCCCCCTCCAATCCCCAGATACACAATGACTTGTGAACCAGAAAATATAACTTCAAAATAAAAAATAAAAGTAAAAAATGAAAGCAAAAGCTAGACGACTAGTCACCTATAGGTTAAGGAGAATACATGCGGGATTTCTCCAGGGGCCAGTAACATCAATTTCTTGACCTGGGTGATGGCTACCAAGACATTTTTTTCTAACCTATTTTTTTGTACTTTTCTGCGTATTTCAAAAATTTTAAAATGGAAGTATTTTAATTAGTTGACAACTTTACAAAACCAAGATTTTTATGGAAAGAATCTACATCTCTGGTCTCTCTTGAAAAAATCAGAAGATGGGCCTGCATTCCAACAGGACAACAGCAGGCTACAGCTGGGTAGCAGCTGCTCCTTCAGATCAGCAGACCAGGGAAAGTTTTTTTCCCCTCAGTGAACAAACCAATTCAAATTTGATGCAATGTAATTAGTAATAACAGGGGCTGCCAGGTGGCTTAGTGGTAGGGGAGCTGGAATCCCACATGGCCAACTGTGGTTCAAGTTCCAGGACCTGGTGGCTTGCTTTCTCGCTTGTTCTCTCTGTCCCTTTCTGGTTAAAAAAAAAAAAAAAAAGTTAAATAATTTTTTAAAAAGTAATTAGTAGTAACAATGAACACTCACTTACTGCTGGCTACCTGGTGGGCACTGCAGCAAGTGCTTCACAAGCATTATACTATTAATACTCACAGCCAATTCGTTTTACAGATGAGTGCCGCAGCCCAGAAGTGTATGTAAACTGCTAGGATAGGGATCAACAGTTAGTGTAATGGCTATGTCACTGGACTCCACGTAGTCGCCCACAGTTCGAGTCCCGAACCCGGTGGCTTAAACTCATGCCGGGCACGCGTGTGTGCCCAAGATCCTGAGAGGAGAATGGAGAAGGGATTGTGGTGTGGCCATCCCCCCTGGGGGATGATTTCTTGCTTTCTGTTTCTCTCTGTCTGTCTGGCAAGCACATGCACCCTATAGCAAAACCTCTCCAAAAAGGAAAAAAAAAAACCCCAAAACAAAAAAATAAACTGCTAGGATACAGGGCTAACTAGTGTGTAGGTCTGTCTCTAGGACAGCATTGTTCAATAACTTACTACGCTGGTGGAAATGTTCTATATCTGGACTGTCCCATATGGTAGCCACTAGTGGCCATCAAACACTTGAAATGAGGGGACTGCATATGACAAGTTTTAGATTTCACTTTAAGTGCAGTCAGTTTAAATTTAGCCACACCTAGCTGGTGGCCCCTGTAATGGAGAGCCCAACTCCAAGGCCTGATTTCTTAGCCACTTGCTTAGAGAAGAGCTATGTTCTAAGTGTTTTAAGTTTGAGATTCAGAATGTTAAAATCTAAGGATGGATGAGTGACTATCTGAAAGCAGAGATGAAAAGAAGGGCACAATTTAAGTATGAAGCTACAACCCAGAAACTTAAGGAATAAGACCAAGCACATTCTGGATCTCTTTAATTAAGAAAGGTACTTAATCTAAGGCTAATTCTAGTAACTTATGTGGAAGGATGGCAGGGAAAGGGCAGCTGGGGAAGGAAAAAGCTTCTTTCACAAAGTTGGTAGGACACATTCCAGAGGCAAACGGCACTGTGTGCACACTGGAGAAAATATTCCATATAGCACTCTGGGTAGGTTTTGTGGCATAAAAACTGTTTCCAAAGGAAAAATAGAAAAATAGAACGCTTTGTTTTCAGGACCAGCAGATGGAGTAATTGTTATGTGACTGGACTCCCATGTAGTTGACCCTGGTTCGAGTCCCAGACTTGGCAGTTTGGGACTCAGGCTGGGTGTGTGTGTGTGTATGCCCAAAATCTCAAGAGAATGGAGAATGGATTGTGGTATGGCTATTCCCCAGGAGTGTGATTTCTTGCTGTCTTTCCTGTAAGCACATGTGCCCTTATAGCAAAAAAAATCTTAACAAAATGAAACAAAACAACTTTGTTTGCAGCCAAACTACCCTCTGCTGGCTGTGGCGTTAATACCTAATGCTGGTTTAATAAGAACCTGGTTCTACCAGTCCTTTATGGTTATCTAATACTGAGTTACCAAAATACCCTTTGTAGTCTGAAATAACTTGGAATATTTTTTCCCACTATGTGCTATCCAGAGGACCTGTGTGTCTGAAGGCAAACCGTTCTAGTCCTGAGATCTTCTGAATCTTCTTGTAGGACTCTAAATCAAGGATAAAGAAAATCACACAATTTAAGAGTGGCACTCATTAAAAATGATTCAATAAACCATTACATATTACTAGAAGAGATAAACTTTAGTAGGAAAAGCTGTTTAAATTCTTGGACACAAATAAAAGAGGCAGACTGCCAAGGCTATTAGTGATAACAGTAGAGTCTGATCAGTCAGGGAGGACCGGAAAGAAACCTATTTTCCATCAGCAGGACAGAATGTGCCAGAGGCTCCTAATTACAAAGATTTAGTTTTGGATTGCTGGAGAACAGCACCATGATGAGGAAAGCAGATGACAGACAGCATTTGTTCTGGAAAATAACAGCAAGCATAGGAACTAGAGCAATTAGAAAAGTTCAGGGGCCTGAAGTTACTAATAGACAAGATTATCCAAGTTTCAGTAATCAAGAAGGCCAACAGTTGGGGCAGGTTATAAAACAAAAAACCCCTTAAGGCCATTAGGTAGCAACAGAGGTGGAACAGCGAATGAGAGGTGCCTGAATAGAAGGGTGCTCTACAAATCAACATCTTGTACACCCAAAAAAGAGACAAAGAATGATGACCCATGTGGCAGTATCAGGGATAGGCAAAGAGGACTTAAAAGATTTATTATTGACTAGCATTTTTTAAAAGCATTATTTAACTTTATTATTTTCCAGTTTGAAGAGAGAGAGAGACAGAGAGAAAGAGAGAATGCAAGCCACCAGGTCCAGGACTTGAACCATGGTCAGCCATATAGGAGTACAACACCTTTAACCACCATGCCACCTGCCGGCCCCCTGACTAGCATCTTGAAGATCCTTGAGGCCCATTAATTCCTAACTCCATTGGAAATCAAGAATATTTTATTGCCATGTGACCCATGAGAACAGTTTTTAGAAGATGGCCAAATCTACCCTGTCATACTAGGTCTAGTGAAATGAATCCACCCCTTAAGACTCCTTATATTCTGGTCAATAAGCTGCCTTAAGTTGGGCAAAGCTTTTTAAAATAGTGTAAAATAATTTAAGGCAGAATTTATGTTTAGGAATGGAAAAAAAAAAGAATTATTTTTTATTTAACTTTATTCTAATTTGACCAGAGAGGGATAGAGTAAGAGAGAGATGGAAAGTGAGAAAGCAAGCCGCCTGGTCTGGGGCTCAAACCACATTCGGCCATGTGGGAGTCCAGCGCCTTTAACCACCACACCACCTGCCAGGCCCCTAAAAATACTTCTAAAAAAAGAGAAAGACTCCAATGACACAGAGAAGTAATGCTAAACTGTATCCTTTTACAGGCCAAAGCATGTAAAGACATGTAAGACATCTTATTAGGGCACCATGAACGTCCAGACATTAAGAATCCATTTCGGGACCAGCAGATGGTGTAATGGTTATGTTGCTAGACTCCCTCGTAATTGAGTGTGGTTTGAGTACCAGACCCGGTGGTTTAAAACTCACACCGGGCACATGTGCATGTGTGCCTAAAGTCCCAAAAGGAGGATGGAGGAGAGGTGATTATGGTGTGGCCATCCTTCCTGGGGAGTGATTTCTCGCTTTCCATCTCTGTCTCTCCAGTGAGTGCACACGCCTTATAGCAAAATCTCTCCAAAAAGAGAAAGAAAAAAATAAAGAAGAATCCGTTTCATTCACTGCTCTTTTCATTTCAGCACACCAAAGAAATCTAAGCAAGCAAAAGATGAATCTTTCATAAGCAGTGATGATAATGAAGATACACTTTTGGATAAAAGATTGAAATTTTGTAAATATCCACGGTCAACAGACCACCACTCTTCAAGGAGACCTCTATCCATCTCTAAAGAATGGCATGGATACAAAAAGAAGAACCATACTATCAGTGTAGGAAAAGACATGAACTGTGACGTGATACTTCACAGAGATCACAAGAAAGAAGTGGCAGCCCCTTCTCCATACTGGACAATGGTGAAGCATGACAATGAAAGCTCTTCCTCCTCAGCTTCCTCGACCTCAGATGCGTTTTGGCTGGAAGACTATGCTCAAGTTGTCAAGGATAAAGGCCAATCGGTATCAAAGGTTGGTTAGGCAGGGCTTGCAAATCTGTGTTACGGGACACTTTATCTTGAAAACAGCCGACTGCTGTGCATCCCCATGTACAAAAGCTTTGCGATACTTTCAGGAACATATGTACAGACGTATCAATTCTCTCTTAGGGCTGCTCCGTAAAGCCTTTAGAGACTTTCAATGTGATCAGATCTAAAGACTCCCCAGGGATCTCACAAGGAAGGCCTCACAAATCTTATTCTCAAAATAGCACCATCATACAGCTGCCAAGACCTTCCTTTCTGAGAAGGATTTCTCATCTTTTAGACAATGGGGTAGAGGAACCATTTATAAGAATGTCTGAACCTACTAGAGAACTTCACTTTTTACGGTAAATACCACATTTTTCTTTTTTTCCCCCCCTACGCAAACTTCAGGTGTCCCATTAAAAAAAAAAATAGAGATACATTCTTTGGCTTACTGTTCATACTGGAATTCTGACCCTTTTTTAGCTTTAACTTTGAATGTTGGGGTGATAGTTAATTATTTGAGCAAGACAAGACAGAAACAGATGAAGGAGAGATGGGAAATTAAAGACAAAATTCCCAGTGAAGATATATCAGACATATTAAAATGAAGTAATGGGAATACATATGATTGAGAGAGAATTTATGTTTTTCAGAACTAATTCTATGCAAAAAGGGGGCAAAAAGGAGGTAAAACCCAGATCATTTAACTGTTGCTACCCCAAATGAGGTTTCTTAAAAGAATTATTTAATTTAATTTAATTAATTTATTTTTATTCATTATTATTATTATAGGGCACATGTGCTCACCAGAGGGAGACAAGAGAGAGAAAGTGAGAAAGTCAGTCACCAGATTTGGGACTTGAACTACGATCGTCCATGTGGAAATCCAGTGCCTCAACCACACCACCTGTGGGCCTCTCAAATGACAGTTTTAAAAGTTGCTTATATTCTAAAAAGCTACCAATAATAATCTGGAAATACTTACCTTCATTTTAAACGTTAAGCTTTCATGTTACTAGTTTCTGATGCTTCTATAGTCAATTATTGTATTCCTGTTTCCTTTATAGCATGTAAAACAAAGATCTCAGTATATTATAAATGCTTGTTGTTTAGGAAAAATGTAGGAAAAACATTTAAGCAGAATGTTTTATTGACTTTAGGACAGCTGGGAATAATTATCTGTATTTATGGTTTAAAAGATTTTACCCCATGGGGACAAAAAAGGATGAGTATTTTATTTATAGACTTTTGACCTTCAGGTGTTTGCTGCTTGGGGCTGAGATGTTCAGCTCTTTCCTGTACTATGTACTTCAACATTACAACTCATCTACAAAAGGTGTATGCCCCAAATTTCCACTTGCTGCCATTGACTTCCGGCCAGAAACAAACTTCTTTGCAGCCTTTAAACAAACAAAGAAACAAAATAAAAGTTAATAGAAATAAAATGTATCAGCAATTAGATAAACTTACTGTCATTTCAAGAGTTTATGGTAGCATATTCTAAGCCAGTAATTCTAAAAATAGCCTCCTGTGAAAATTAACTATGAGATGTGTGATGCTTTATTTTAATTTGTGATGATGCGAGAGGAAAAGCATAGGTGCTCCTTTAAATGTTCCACCCCATGTAACTAACTGAGCAACTGTGGTGCTCTGGTGCAGTTAAGAGGGTTAGGCTAAGGAAAACCTCACTGATGCTGCAAAATAGGGCAGAGTAGCTTCAAGCAGGACTGTACTTTTTAAAATTTTATTTAACTTTATTATTATTATTATTATTTTTCAGTTTGATCAGAGGGAGAGAGAGAAAAAAAGAGAGAGAGAAAATAAGAAAGCAAGCCACCAGGTCCAGGCCTTGAACTGCGGTTGGCCATGTGGGAGTCCAGTGCCTTTAACCCTACGCCACCTGCTGGCCCCTAGGACTGTACTATATTTTTTTTGGGGGGGGGGAGAGGTTTTCACTATAGGGCGCGTGCGCTCGCCAGACAGACAGAGACAGACAGAGAGACAGAAAGCGAGAAATCACCCCCCAGGGGGGATGGTCACGCCGCAATCCCTTCTCCTCCATTCTCCTCTCGGGATCTTGGGCACGCACACACATGCGCCCGGCATGAGTTTTAAGCCACCGGGTCCGGGACGCGAACCGCGGTCGACTACGTGGGAGTCCAGCGACATAGCCATTACGCTAACTGCTGGTTCCCTAGGACTGTACTATTTTTAAGGCAAATAGCCTGTGTCAATCAAATGCATTGATTGATAACTTAAAAGTCAAACTTCATACACTAGCTGCCTTTATGCTACTATTGGTTGTTTAGGGTTAGTGTAGTATCATGAGGTAGGTTTGGGCGCAGCAGCAGTCCCTACATTATCTCAGGCCAGTTATTTATTTATTTATTTTTTTAAACTAGGTCTGGGACTTGAATGGTCAGCCATGTAGGAGTCCAGCTCCTTTGACCACCACATCACATGGTGGCCCCTTTTAGGCCAGATTGTGCAATGGAGGAGAAGTGGCAGCTGCGTTGAGACTCATGTAAGGATGGTATATAAGATGAGGATAACCATTTGGAAAAGTATGTAATATGTACAGATGAATTCAGGGGCCAGGTGAAGTTAAGTTAGGGTTGCTACCTTAAAATAGCCTTGTCTTGTTTTTCCACTCCCACTGTCCTTATACTAGGCAGAGCTGTTGGTGAGAAGATGGTTGAACCATCTAAATGGAAGGCAAGTTGGCATTTTTAATAGAGAAAGGACTGGAAAACCCAGTGAGGTTTAATTTATTCTGTAGTCCGTGTGCTTGCTAGACACAATGGGGAATGCAAGGAGGTGTAAGGCATAGTGCTGCCTCAAGACAGCTTGGTCCTTGGGACCAGCAGTTGGCGTGGTGGTTAAGGTGCTGGACACTCCCACATGGCCGACCACGGTTCGAGTCCCGGACCTGGTGGCTTCCTTTCTCACTTTCCCCCTCTCTCTTTCCTCCTCTGTGTCTCTCTCTTGGCAAATTAAAAAAAAAAAAAAAAGAAAAGAGTGAATAAATATAATTAAATAAATAATTATTTTAAAAAAATGTTAAAAAAAAAAGAGACAGCTTGGTCCTATAGGGAACAATAAGGTACGTGAGGAAAATAAACAGCAAGAACAGGAAACTGTCTTATGCTTGAGCTGAAAAAAATATTGAGATGTGGGATAGTGAAGGATTAGCAGGATAGAGTTTATTTTGCAGGAGTGAAAAAGGAAAAACAGCAATACTTTACTATAGTCATGTATTGCTTAACAATAGGGATAAGTTCTGAGAGTCACAATTTTAGGTGATTTCATCGCTGTGTGCACGGCCTTTCTACTCCTTACTGGCCCAGCTTCATATATGGGGGCCACTGCTAATAGAAAGATCATTAAGTGGCACATGACTGTATTTAGGTTGAATCATATGAAACTGCCAATATCTGACTCATTTTGATCTCTAGGAATTTAAAATGGTTTAACCTAATGGTAATTTATTTGAATGAGGAAGTTACGTGTAACCTAGTTGACAAGCTATTTGTGAATCTGATGGTAACGAGCCCTCCTGCCTCCACACTAGACAGCTAAGCACCTGCACCTAACAGCACAACAGCACACACGGCCCAAGGAAGCTTACGCATTGTTCCTGAAATTGGATCATTAAGGTTGAGTTCTCTGATGTTAAATGATAGGTTTTCATTTGCTTACGTTTATGACATCAGCTTCAGCCACTGAGTCGATCTGCTGCAGGACTGTGGATGGTGGCATGTACGAACCAGCAACGAGCGCCTGGGACCCGACTTCATCTAGGAAACCCTCAGAAGACTCCACTGACATTAGGTATCCGGCTTTCAGCTTGTTCCTGTCCAGAAAAGGGAAGGAATCAGTTTTACAGAGCAATGTAATTTTAAAATGTGTTCTTAAAACTCTTCAACAGGTTTCTGGTAAAAAGAAAAATTATTAGCTTATGACACTTAAAAGCCTCCATTCTATTTCTTTAGTTCACCAAGCAATTTATTACATTATTGTTTGGAAAGCTGTTAGTACGAAACTACATTGAAAATTCAGCAGACTGCTTTCTGATTTTGGACTAGAACTTAGATCTGTTTAAAACTATTTTAATGTGAGGTATTGATTAGTGAAGTAATTTTTCCTCCTGATACTTTTTATGATAATTTTAAGCATTTCTTTTTTTACTTTAAGATTTAATTAATGAATCAAAATTTGACCAGAGAGGGACCGAGTGAGAGAGAGAGGGGGAAAGTGAGAAAGCAAGCTGCCAAGTCTGGGACTTGAACCACAGTTGGCCATGTGGGAGTCCAGTATCTTTAACCACCATGCCACCTGCTGGCCCCAATTTCAGGCATTTTTATTAAGGAAGATACATATGTGGGCTTTTAAGGCACAATGAACTTAGCTGAACACTGTGTCAATTCTGTATACCTAGTTTCCCCATCCACTATTCCTACACCGGGACTGGCCTTAACAAGGGTAGAAGAGCATAAAGGATTCTGAAGGACAGCATAAGTCTCGTAAGCCCCAGTGGCTTAAAAAGGACATAAAAGTATTAATTTGAAATAAAGCAAAACAATACCTAAATCATGATTCATCCAGAAAGAAACCGTTATTCCTTATAAATATGGTATTCAATAAGGCACTTGAGTAATTTAAACCCCCAAAAGCTATCATCCTTTGGCACTCTATAGCAAGACTTCCATTTAAATGTAATTAGAACACATGACTGTATTTAGGTTGAATCATATGAAACTGCCAATATCTGACTCATTTTGATCTCTAGGAATTTAAAATGGTTTAACCTAATGGTAATTTATTTGAATGAGGAAGTTACGTGTAACCTAGTTGACAAGCTATTTGTGAATCTGATGGTAACGAGCCCTCCTGCCTCCACACTAGACAGCTAAGCACCTGCACCTAACAGCACAACAGCACACACGGCCCAAGGAAGCTTACGCATTGTTCCTGAAATTGGATCATTAAGGTTGAGTTCTCTGATGTTAAATGATAGGTTTTCATTTGCTTACGTTTATGACATCAGCTTCAGCCACTGAGTCGATCTGCTGCAGGACTGTGGATGGTGGCATGTACGAACCAGCAACGAGCGCCTGGGACCCGACTTCATCTAGGAAACCCTCAGAAGACTCCACTGACATTAGGTATCCGGCTTTCAGCTTGTTCCTGTCCAGAAAAGGGAAGGAATCAGTTTTACAGAGCAATGTAATTTTAAAATGTGTTCTTAAAACTCTTCAACAGGTTTCTGGTAAAAAGAAAAATTATTAGCTTATGACACTTAAAAGCCTCCATTCTATTTCTTTAGTTCACCAAGCAATTTATTACATTATTGTTTGGAAAGCTGTTAGTACGAAACTACATTGAAAATTCAGCAGACTGCTTTCTGATTTTGGACTAGAACTTAGATCTGTTTAAAACTATTTTAATGTGAGGTATTGATTAGTGAAGTAATTTTTCCTCCTGATACTTTTTATGATAATTTTAAGCATTTCTTTTTTTACTTTAAGATTTAATTAATGAATCAAAATTTGACCAGAGAGGGACCGAGTGAGAGAGAGAGGGGGAAAGTGAGAAAGCAAGCTGCCAAGTCTGGGACTTGAACCACAGTTGGCCATGTGGGAGTCCAGTATCTTTAACCACCATGCCACCTGCTGGCCCCAATTTCAGGCATTTTTATTAAGGAAGATACATATGTGGGCTTTTAAGGCACAATGAACTTAGCTGAACACTGTGTCAATTCTGTATACCTAGTTTCCCCATCCACTATTCCTACACCGGGACTGGCCTTAACAAGGGTAGAAGAGCATAAAGGATTCTGAAGGACAGCATAAGTCTCGTAAGCCCCAGTGGCTTAAAAAGGACATAAAAGTATTAATTTGAAATAAAGCAAAACAATACCTAAATCATGATTCATCCAGAAAGAAACCGTTATTCCTTATAAATATGGTATTCAATAAGGCACTTGAGTAATTTAAACCCCCAAAAGCTATCATCCTTTGGCACTCTATAGCAAGACTTCCATTTAAATGTAATTAGAACTTAACTACACTGTCAGCTTAATTTAAAAAGGACTTTACCTATAATAAACGTTACCAGGAGGCTATTGGTTTGTCCCTTTAGCAATGACACCTCATTTTCTCTCTAAGAACTTGATAAGAAAAATGACCAGCTCCATCAAAATGGCAGAAAACAAACCATATCCTGACCTAACAGAAATCCCATTTTCTACATATTGTTATACCTTATAAGAACTATGCTAAACTGATTAAGAAAACAAAATTTCTTAGATTTGAAATTTAGATTTTTCTTAGGTAAATTCAGTCACTTTATTCTCATCATTTTTTGTTTCTGGTGCAATCAAGCAGAACTACATCCTATCAACTCTTGATTCCATGAATACAATATGTAGTAAATTGTGCTGTACTTATTCGAAAGACGTTATTTGTAGAATGCTCAACATAACAGCACTAATAACACCAAGGGAACAGAAATAACTAAAAGGTTGTTCATTCTTGATGTAATTCACTATGCCTATTTCCACTGTGGGTGATATTAGATAATCCTAAAGACTGTTTGAATTCTAAGATTCACATTTCAAACTGTCAGAGTCAACTTGGGAACCAGCAGTTAGTGTAATGGCTATGTCGCTGGACTCCCACGTAGTCGACCACGGTTCGCGTCCCATACCCGGTGGCTTAAAACTCACACCGGGTGCGTGTGCGTGCGTGCCCAAGATCCCGAGAGGAGAATGGAGGAGAAGGGATTGAGGTGTGACCATCCCTCCTGGGGGGTGATTTCTCGCTTTCTGTCTCTCTGTCTCTCTCTGTCTGTCTGGCGAGCGCATGCGCCCTATAGCGAAAACCTCTCCAAAACAAACAAACAAAAAAAACAGAGTTAACTTAAATGTCTTAAACTGCTAATATTTTAATATTTAGGCTGATTTACAACTTTGTCTAAATTCTGTCTCTTTTAGTTAGAGAAGCTCCTATTTTCTTAGTAAATTAGGCATGGTTGCTATTAGTATTTTCAGTCTACACAGTGAGAACTTAAAAATCAACAAATAGAAAAAAAAATTTAAAAAAAAGAAAAAAAAAGAAATTTCCAATAGTTATTATAGAATGAGTATTCTCACATACTGGTAGTGTTGTCTGGCGAGCGCATGCGCCCTATAGCGAAAACCTCTCCAAAACAAACAAACAAAAAAAACAGAGTTAACTTAAATGTCTTAAACTGCTAATATTTTAATATTTAGGCTGATTTACAACTTTGTCTAAATTCTGTCTCTTTTAGTTAGAGAAGCTCCTATTTTCTTAGTAAATTAGGCATGGTTGCTATTAGTATTTTCAGTCTACACAGTGAGAACTTAAAAATCAACAAATAGAAAAAAAAATTTAAAAAAAAGAAAAAAAAAGAAATTTCCAATAGTTATTATAGAATGAGTATTCTCACATACTGGTAGTGTGGTTATAACTCGATACGACCTTTTTAGATAATGATTTAGAAGTATATAAATAAAAAATTATATAAACACACACACTTTATGGGACCAGCAGTTAGCGTAATGGCTATGTCGCTGAATTGCCATGTAGCCAACCACAGTTCGAGTCCTGGACCTGGTGGCTTAAACTCACGCCGGGCGCGTGTGTGTGCATGCCCAAGATCCCAAGAGGAGAATGGAGGAGAAGGGATTGCAGCATGGCCATCCTCCCTGGGGGTGACTTCTCGCTTTCTTTCAATGCCTTTCTGGCGAGCACATGCGCCCTATAGCAAAAAACCCTCCAAACAAAACAAAACAAAACAAAAAAATGACACACACACTTTATCAAAGAGCCTTTCGTTATAATGACTTCTGACGCAGTTGAGAACTTACACCAAGTTCTTTTCTCTAGTATAAAATACAAACATGTTGAGGCTGGCCGGTGGCATGGAGGTTAAAGGTGCTGGACTCCCACATGGCCAACCGTGGTCCAAGTCCCGGACCTGGCGGCTTGCTGCTTGCTTTCTCTCTTTCTTTCTCTCTGTCTCTCTCTCTCTGTCACTCTCTGGTCAGATTTAAATAAATAATAAAATAATTCTTAAAAAAAAAAAAAAGTTTTAAGCCCAAAGATAAACTTCATAGCTTACAATTTTTTCTTTTTTCTGAGAGGTTTTTCTTTTAGGGGGCATGCGTTCACCAGAAAGACAGAGAGAGACAGAAAGCGAGAAATCAAGCCCCAGGGGGGACGGCCATACCGCAATCCCTTCTCCTCCATTCTTCTCTCAGAATCTTGGACACGCACGCATGCACACGCACCCGGCGTGAGTTTAAGCCAGTGGGTCTGGGACTCGAATTGTGGTTGACTACATGGGAGCCCAGTGACATAGCCGTTATTATAACTGTTGGTCCCCATAGTTTACTATTTTCAACTGGAAAAAGTGTTCAAGTATATTTTGACACAGCAACTAAGTTTTAGTAATCTAAATAAATGGAAATATCATGTTTTAAAAGGAGGAATCGACTGATAGGGAATAAAATATTAGTTTCATCTTATTTTCATTTGTAATTTTCCAATTTCTGTAACAAACACACTATTTAAATAGGATACTGCCAGCTGGTAGCATGGTGGTTAAGGCAGCTGGATCCCACGTGGCCACCTGTGTGGTCTGAGTTCTGGACCCAGTGGCTTAACGAAACACACCAGGCGTGTGTGTGTGCATGCCAAAAATCCTGAGAGGAGAATGGAAGAAAAGGAATTGCAGCATGGCCCTTTCCCCTAGGGGGGTGGTTTATCATGTTTCTTCTTTCTTTCTCTTTGTATCTGTCTCCAGAGACAGTATGCACCCTACAGCAAACAAAAACCAAAAAACCCAAACAAACAAAAGAAGGATATAAACATAGATTTAAAATATTAATAATTACATTTAAAAAGTGCATGGTCGAGAATATAAGCAAAATGTTAACAATTATTTACCTAGATGGATGGATATGGATGTGCTTTCCTGTCCCTTTTAATACTTTTCTGTATTTCTCAACCCTTATAAGCATATATTACAATATTGTTATGACTAGAAAAAACAACTTTCAAGTAACTGAACATAAAATAGTAAATACTGGGACTAGTAGATGTTGTAATGGTTATGTCACTAGACTCCCACATAGTTGACCACGGTTTGAGTCCTGGATCCGACAGCTTAAAACTCAAGCTGGGCGCATATGTGTGCCCAAAGTCCCGAGAAGAATGGAGGAGAAGGGACTGCAATGTGGCCATTCCCCCAAGGGGATCATTTCTCACTGTCTGTCTCTGTCTGTCCGGCGAGCACACATGCCCTATAGCAAAAATCTCTTTTAAAAACAAACAAACAAACAAAGAAAAAAACCAAACACCACAGTTAATACGAAGACTTACTTGGCAGCTTGAATATCTGTATTGGGAAGGTTTCCCTGAGCAACTGCTTTGACTTGGTTATAGGCAGCCTTGATGACCTAGAACGGACAAGGAAGAGGTGCTCAGTGCCAGCATCTCCGGCAGCAAGCAAATGCTCTGCTGGCAGGGCAAAAGCACAAGATGGGAGTTTAGTTCAAGAGGAACCGCACAGCACCTGTCAGGAATTTTGTAGCACCTATTATGCTCTCTATCCTTCCTATGTTTCCAAAATAAGGTCCTGTCCAATTTAAAATATCCAAGTAGTCAAGGTTCTTCTAAGTGGCCCAAAACAGAGTGCCTGAAGAGGATAGCTCTTCTTTAACGGAAGAGCAAAACACATGGATTTATAATTGCCTAAAAAGAAAAGCACCCTGAAGTTTTCTCTGGCCTGTCAGTGCCCGTCAATGAATACTGTTCTCTCTCTCACTATTCACTAAGAAGGAAGCAGTAATCCATACACACCCAGCTTGTAAGGTTGGTTCATACCTGCAGTGTCTGTGTCAAGAAGGAACCTCTGTATGGTGGTTAAGGGAGCATGAGCCCACAATGCTGGGCTGGCCCCAGCTTGAAAGACAGGGGGTGTGTGTGCATGTGTTCCCAAAGTCCTGGCAGGGACGAGGAATGGAGGAAAAAGGATTGTGATATGACCATGCCCTATGGGAAGGGGGGAATTCTCTCTCTCTCTGGCAAGTGGACACCCCTCTGGAAGTTAAAAAGAAAAAGGAATTGAGTTTCAGGGATATGAATACTTGGTAAACTAAAGTTTCTTCCCTTCAGTGTGACAGAGAGAGGGAGAAAGGGAGGAAGGGAGGGAGGGAGGGAAGAAGGAAGGGAAGGAAATATTTATTTCAAGACAGGGACCTTCAATAAGGTCTTCACATCTCATCCGCCCCCATTTCAGCCAGACTGACTATGGACACACGTGGCCAGCATGTTCAGGGAGTTCTACAGACGTGAACCCAGAACCGCCCCACAGGGGTCATCCTTGCTGAGCACGGTTACACTGTGCCACACTACCCATCCCCTTGGTAAATATTTGTTGAATAAGTAAATTAATAAACCTGGCTTGCGATTTTCTCCATCCCAACACTGGCACCATTCTGGGTCTGCTACTGATTGTCCCACTGATCAACTAAGTTGTAGGACCTTCCTCGGCCCTCCATTTTAGCTACCCATTTCCACAGCCACATCTCAGACATAAACATATCCTAGATTTGCCCTACCTCTGAAATCCTCAATTTTAAGACCTCCTGGCCTCAGTCTCTAACCTATTCTTCCACTTTACCAACATCTCTAGTTACTTGGTTTGTCCACTGTCTCTCTATCAATTTCTCTAGATAAGACACAAATCATCTCTTCTCCTCCATTCTCCCCCGAGGATTTGGGACACGCATGCACATGTGCACATGTTTTTTAAGCCTCTGGGATTCAAACTGCATAACTGGCCTTGTGCGATCCAGCTGCCTTAACCTCCATGCTACTGGTTGGCCCAATTTCCTCATACTTTTGAATGGCCCGCTTTGCAGAATTCCAACCCTAATACTACCACCTGCCTCCTCCATCATGCTAGTGAATGTCATTGAAGGAAAATTATCAAACTGACCTGACTACTATGAATTCATGGTAGGAGACACCTACACCACTACTGATACCCATTCATCTGTCCATTAACTTTTCTTCTCCCTTCCTCCCTCTTGCCCTCTCAAACATCACTTAGCCTTCAACTTCTCCATGGATGTACCTCCCATCTTCTTAACATCTTTTTCCAATATTAACTTTTGTTTTCAAGACTAAAACCCACTTCTACTGTGGATCTCATTTGTTCTGCTTTTTCAGACTTAAGCTATTTATAATTTTCTAACTCCTGTATCTATTCCAGTCTTTCCTTTTTCACTCTGAATGTCTCTTCCAAATAAATCTTTCAGTGTAAACTCTCCTAAAACTACCAGCCTCCTCTGTGCAAGTCTAAATTTCACTTGCTAACTCCTTATTTCTTACCCATTTATTCCTTAACCGCTGTAAATTTTAGCTTACTTCCACTACTCTGATGAAAACTGATATGATCACCAAGGACGTCCTAGTTTGGTAGATCTACCAGACCTCTTTATGGTAACTATGGGGATGTTAATCCATTGTGTATCAAAACAAGAGTTAATCTGGGGCCGGCAGGTGTGGTATGGTGATTAAGGTGCTGTATTCCCACATGGCCTACCACGGTTTGAGTCCTGGACCTGGCAGCTTGTTTCTCACCGCCCCACTTCTGACTCTCTCTGGTCGAAATAAAGAATAATAATAAATAAAATTAAATAAATAATAATTCCTTTTTTTTTTTTGAGAGGTTTTTGCTATAGGCTGCGTGCGCTCGCCAGAAAGAGACAGAGAGACAGAAAGTGAGAAATCACCCTCTGGGGGGATGGCCAGGTCACAATACCTTCTCCATTCTCCTCTCGGGATCTTGGGCACACACACACGTGCCCAGCGTGAGTTTAGGCCACCGGGTCCAGGATCTGAACCGTGGTCGACTACATGGAAGTCCAGTGACATAGTCATTACGCCAACTGCTGGTCCCAATAATTCTTCTCTTTAAAAATAATTATTTTATTTATTTATTCATTAATTTATTTCATATTAATTGGATCAGAGAGAGGGACAAAGAGAGAGAGAAAAACAAGCCGCCAGGTCCAGGACTCAAACCGTGGTCAGCCATGTGGGAGTCCAGTGCCCTTAACCACCACACCACCTGCCGGCCTCATAAAATTAAATAAATAATTCTTAAAACAAAACAAAACAAAACAAAAATTAAACCCAGAGTTAATCATTCTCTCTTTCCTTTTCGCCAATAATAATTTCTCTTCTTTTTCTGTTTTCCTGGCTATTTTCCTTAGTCACTTGGTCTGTACATGGTGGGCGTTTCCTAGAACTTGAGCTTCAGTTTTCTTCTACAATTATTCACATGCAACCCTGGCTCCAACATAGCCTCTATAGTGAGGACTCACAAATACACATCTTGGCCTCAGTTTCTCCTGGATTCTCAATTTAGACGTCTGTGCCAACTCAGCGCCACAGAACCAAAATATCAAGGAGGGATTTCCTTGTCTTTTCTGGAGGCATTAGTACATAAGTTTTGTTTTTCTAACAGCAGATACACCTCAATGACATCACATGATATTACACAGAGCTCTGATAAATCAGGACATCCAAACATTCCATACTTTAACTAAAACACATTAATAATGAGAAAAGAACACCTTGTTTATGAGAGCTGGAAAGTTTGCAACTTACATCTCCAGCAGCTGCAGCCTGGGAGATAGTGTAAATCCCAAAGAGTCCAGAATCTGAGTAACTGGCATTAAATGCAGAAACCTGAAAAATAATGAAAATTAAACTTTACTGTTATGACAGTCTTCCATGTAAAAACAGGCATAGCATCCCTAAGGATATCTAGACAGACATTTGCACCTTCACAGTATAAGTAAAACTGATTAACCATTTTTTTTTAAATTTAAATCTTTCTAAGATGATCACTCACTTTCCTTTTTGCTGGCTCTTTTCTAATCTTTTGATAGTTAAAGGCTAATACAAACATTGATTTGCAAGCATTATTCCTACCATCTAGACAACATCATGGCTGAGTTGTCCTGGTCATGGGATTTGGCACTGGGCAGACCTGGTTTCTTCTCTCTGCTGTTGGTGGTAACTTTTTCAGCAATTTGTTATCATTTCATACACTAAAGTCAAAGGATCAGAGAAACATTTCTGTTCAGTGGCCGTTATATAGATGTCCACGGCACCAAGGAGTTTAGCCTGGGCTGCTGTCTACAGACTGAGCAGAGTTCTAAGCATCTCAAGGACGACTTGATTTCCTAATGCATTTTCTGCTGCATTTCTGTGGGTCATTACTCTGAAAGTCTTCTCAGCTGTTATTAATACAGACTTTCAGGTTCCTGCAGATTTACTGACTCAGATCCCTATGCATACAGCCTGGAAGCCCACATTTCTTTTTCTTTTCTAAGCCTGTGCTTTACCACAACTTGAGGATAAAATCAGTGAACAGGAAATTGCCAGCTCTGAAGATGTGATGCTGAGGAGGCCGGAGCCCCTTTCCCTCTGCCTAAGTGCAAAACTGGGAGCAGGACCATACACTTGGACCACCAAGAAAAGAAGGGTCACATTTATAACCAGTGTTTAAGGTGATTCCTAGGCATATTAAAGTTTGAGACTCACCGGTCCAGTCCATGTAAAGTATAAGAAGATATATACATCAATTACTTGAAGTTTAATTCTGAGAATATTCTATTTACATTCCAAATTTCTGGCCGAAGTCTGAGACGGGAATTTCTTTTACATTATGTCATTGGATTAGGACTAAACTCAAACCACAGAGCCTTCAGTAACATTCATTGGTGAAAAGTAAAGTGTGAATAAAACAGAGAAAACAAATCTGGAGGAAATTGAAAAAGCAGCTGCTAAATTTAATTTAGGACTAATTTAAGTAATCATCAAAAAAAATTTTTTTTTTTTTGCTACAGGGTGTGTGTGATGTGAGAGAGAAGAGTGGTATGGAGGGGGGACTGAGAAAGCACCCCTGGTGGGGTGGTCACACTACAAACCCCTTTCCTCTATTCTCCTCTTGCACCGCACGTTTGGGTATAGCACGTGCACATACATGCTCAGTGTGCTTTTAAAGTCACTGGGTACAGGATTCGTATAGTCGGCAATGTAGGATCCAGCTGCTTAAACCACTATGCCACTGGCTGGCCCAGATAATGGCTTCTGAACCCTAATGATGGCTCCAGGGAACCCTAAGGCTCCATACAGATGATTCAAAGGGTTTCACAGGAAAGTCAGTCTACAAAAATTCTTCAAAAGTTAAAACTTCTGTGCTTTGCATTGCAGTTGGGAAATCAAATAGAAAATATTTCCTCTGCTAAAAAAGGTGTGTGTTTGTACATGCTGAACATCCTAAAAACAGGAAAAGAAAGAGAAGGAATTGCAGCATGACCATTTCCCACAGTGGGGATGCTTTTTCCTCTCCTACTCTCTCTTTTCTGGCAAGCACATATGCTCTCTAGCACGCGCGCACACATACACACACACACAATTCTTTTATTTATAAATTTTACTTCTTATTTTAAAATTTGCTATGGGTCATGTGCTCACCAGAGAGAGAGAGAGAAAGTGAGGAAGCGAAGCAAGCAGCCAGGTCCAAGACTCAAACCACAGTCAGCCATGTAGGAGTTCAGTGCCTTAACCCACCATGCCACCTGCTGGTCTCTCACTCAAAAAAGTTTTTGATAGACCCCCCTAAGGTCTTAAAAATCAAGCCTAGCTGTGTTGTCAATTGTACAAAGATTTTCTATGTTATTTATCTTAAATTTTAAGAGCAGATTAACATTAAGAGCAGAGTATCAGTACTGTATCAGAAATATAGCACATTGTTAGCAAAAGGAGAATACCAATTATCCAGACTCACATCAAATGGCTGGTTAACGCCCTTGGCAACAGCCTGGTAGAGAGGACTCGTGGGATTGCTGCCCCTCTTGACATGTGGCCCAGCGCCGAGTACATGTTGAAGCACACTAAATGCATTTGCTTCTGCACTTCCTGCAGCAGCACTTTCTGCTACAATAGCCGCATGGACAAGACTGTCTCCATTCTGTTCTCGAATTTCACCTGGGACCAGGTAAGAAGAGAGTACATAAGAACATGACTTGGTCTCCATGGGTTTTACTCTTCAGTATTCCTTATAATAGTACAGTATTAACCCACCAAGATTAAGCTTTTTTTTTTTGATTGATTATATTTAAATTTATTCATTTAATTATTAAAAAATTAAAAAAATATTTTATTTTATTTATTTATTCATTTACTTTTTTTTTTTGGTAGAGGTTTTTGCTATAGGGTGTGTGTGCTCGCCAGAAAGACAGAGACAGACAGAAAGACAGAAATCACCCCCTGGGGGAATGGCCATGACGCAATCCCTTCTCCTCCATTCTCCTCTCAGGAACTTGGACATGCACGCACATGTGCCCAGTGTGAATTTAAGCCACTGGTTCTGGAGCTCAAACTGCCGTCGACTACATGGGAGTCAAGCAACATAACCATTATGCTAACTGCTGGTCCCTATTCATTTATTCTTAATTTGAGCAGAGAAAGACACAGAGAGATAGAGAGAGAGACACAGAGAGATAGAGAGAGAGAGGGAAACTGAGAAAGCAAGCCACCAGGTCCCGGACTCCAGCCATGGTCAACCATGTGGGAATGTCCAGCACCTTAACCACCACGCCACCTGCTGGTCCCCCATTTATTTATTTTAATTTGACCAGAAAGGGACAGAGCGAGAGCAAGAGCGAGAGAGAGAAAGTGAGAAGGCAAGCTGCCAGGTCTGGGACTTGAACCATGGTTGGTTATGGTGGGAGTCTAGCGCTTTTAACCACCACGTCATCTGCTGGCCCCAAGATCAAGCTTTTTTCTATGGCCCTGTGTTTTCCCCATGTCATCTTGCCCCAACACACATGTAAAATACAAATTTATTACACAACACTCAGGTAACCTAAGTGAGACTATTGGGGAGTAAATTATCAGGCTTATTCTGTCCCTATTCCATCTCATTCTAGTGAAGAAACTTCCTTCTGATAAATTAACCCTAATAAAAGAAAATACTTACCTCCACGGTATTTGGCCTTTGCACCAGACAAACCAAGCCCACCCCTCATGTTCAGAAACTGTTCAGCAACTTGCTTTAGAACAGGATGACTCACACCTGTTTCGACAGACACAAAAACAAAGCTAGAAATGGAATTTCCAAACACAATTGTAAAACATCTATTGCTTTAAAAATATGATTATAAAATTCAAACTTTATAGAAATAAACAGTAAAGAAAACAGTATCGTCTTCCCACCATAATGTCACTCTCCCAGATACAGATATCCACTTACCGTTTACTATAACTAAACTGTCAGTTATTACTACTCATCAAGAATTTTTTTCCTGTGTAGTTAATAATATTACGCTCATTTTATTTTTAAAATGGTATCATTCTATTGATATTTTTGTAATTTATCTTTTGTAATTTACATCTTTCTAAGTGACTGTCTACACCAACTATTTAATAGTTACGAAGAACTCTCTTTTATGGATATACCATTATTTACTTAATTGATCCCTTCAAGATGGATATTCGCATGTTTCCAATACTTGGCTACTAATATGGTATTGTGTGTCAAAGAACACTGAAGAAATGAAAGACAACCAATGAAATGGAATAAAATATTTGATTACATATCTGCTAAGGTTCTAGTATCCAGATGTATAAAGTACTTTTGCAATTCAACAATAAAAAATAAACAACTCAATTTAAAACTGGGCTAAAGACTTAACAGACATTTCTCCAAAGAACTTACACAAATGGCCAAAAACCACATGAAAAGATGTTTAATGTCATCTGTCATTAGGAAAATGAAAATCAGAGCTGGCCCCACAGCATGACAGTTAAGCAGTATGTGAGCTGAGTCCTACTTGGCTGACCATCATTTGAATCCTAGCTCTGATGGACATATATGCACATGTTGAAGAGCCTGACAGGACAGAGAAATGGAGGAAAAAGACTGTGGAAGGACTGGGCCCACTGTGTGTGTGTGTGGAAGTGGCCTCTATCCCTTTCTTTGTCTCCCTCCCCTTGTGCATGCCCATACCATCTGGAAAAAAAAAAAAAAAAAAAAAAATCAAAACCACAGTAACCACTTCACGCTCACTCACTAGGATGGCATAATCAGAAAGAGAGATAAGGGGTAGGCCTGCCTCATGGCCTAGTGGTTAAGGTAGCTAGATCCCACACAGCTGACCACACAGTTTGTACCTTGGCCCAAGCAGCTTGAAAACAACCAGACACATGTGTGTGCAAGCCCAAAATCCTGACAGGATGAAGAAATGGAGAAGAGACTATGGTGTGATCATGCCCCACTGAGGGATGCTTTCTCCTTCACCCTCTGTCTCCCACCAGCAAGTACATGTGCCCTCTGGCAAATTAAAAAAACATTGTGGGGCCAGGAAGCATGGGAAAAGGAGGTTAGGGAAATGGACTCCCACATGGCCGACCACAGTTTGAGTCCCAGACCTGGTGGCTTGCTTTCTCACTTTTTAAGTCTCTGTTTCTCTAAGGTGAGCACACATACCCTATGGCAAATTAAAAAATAAATAAGCTCTCTGAGCTTGGACCTAGTTGGCAGGGATATGGCTAAATGCACCAACAAGGTTGGCATCTTTGGCAAATACAGGACCCGCTATGGTGCCTCCCTCCAGAAAATGGTGAAGAAAATTGAAATCAGCCAGCATGCCAAGTACACTTGCTCCTTCTGTGGCAAAACTAAGATAAAGAGACGGGCTGTGGGGACCTGACACTTGGTTCCTGCATGAAAACGGTAGCTAGTGGTGCCTGGACCTACACTCTGCTGTCACAGGAAAGTCTGCCATCAGAAGACTGAAGGAATTGAAAGACCAGTAGAAGAAGCTCCATAGACATTTGGAATATCACTAGCCTATAATAAATGGGTTAATTTATGTAAAAATAAATAAATAAAATAACCCCAATTCTTTAGAAAAAAACATTAAATGTTGGTAAAGATGTAGAGAAACTGGATGCCTTATGTACTGCTGGTGGGAATGTAAAATGGAGAACTTTGAAAAAATAGCCTGCAAGTTCTTTAAATAGTTAAACAGTGAATCACCATATGCCTTGGCAATTCCATTTCTAGTTAGATCCTTGAAAATAGGTGTTCTGAGAAACACCCATACATATCTGTAGACATCATTGTTTATATTAACAATAGCCAAAAATAGTTAAAACAGTGAATCACCATATATGCCTTGGCAATTCCATTTCTAGTTAGATCCTTGAAAATAGGTGTTCTGAGAAACACCCATACATATCTGTAGACATCATTGTTTATATTAACAATAGCCAAAAGGTAGAAACAATCTCCCTTTTAGTAAATGGATGAACAAAATGTGGTAATAGAATATTTTTCAGCCATAGAAGGACATGAAACATTGATACACGCTGCAATATAGAGGGAACTTGAAATACTATGCTAAATAAAAGCAGCTAGTTACAGGGACCAGCAGATGGGGTAATAGTTACGTTGCTGGACTCCCACATAGTTGACCATGGTTTGGGTCCTGGAACTGGTGGCTTAAAACTTATGCCAGGGGCATGAGCATGAGTGCTCAAGGTCCCAAAAGCAGACTGGAAGAGAAGAGATTGTGGCGTGGAGACCCCCACACGGGGTGATTTCTCGCTTTCTGTCAACTTCTCTCTGGTGAGCGTAGGCAACCTATGTAAAAAAATCTTTCTCTTAAAAAAGAAGAAAAGAAGCCAAAAGGCCACATACTGTATGATTCCATTTATGCAAAATGTCCAGAAAGTAGAATAGTGGATGCCATAGGCAGGAGGAAAGATGAGGATGGGGAGCGACTGCTAGTAGGTATGCAATTCCTTTGGGGATTATGAAAAATGTTCTGAAATTAGATAGTGGTAATAGTTGCACAAAATCCCAAGAGGGGAATTCTGTCTCTGGCAAGCACACGTACCCTACAGCAAAAATTTAAAATAATAATAATTAAAAAAAAAAAAAAAGCAAAAAATCTAAAAGTAAAATCACTGGGTCTAAGAAATAAACATTTTTGAGAGAGACTATTTCCCCATACCTTTGGGCAGTGCCAATCTCCTAATTTTTACTAATCTCTCAATTTATAATTGTCTTAATTATTAGTGAAGCTGACCATCTTTTAAAATTTTAAAATAAAGATAGCTGTCACACACACATACGTACACATCTCTCAGTGAACTGTCTGTTCATGCCTTTTGCCTATTTTTGCACTGAGTTGTACTTCTTTTTAAAAGACACTTTGTGGAAATTTTGCTTAGCGAAATTCACCCTTATCACAGATTTTGTAAATACTGTAAAAAATTTAAAACAAGTAGTTTACAAAATTAGAAGCTGGAATCTGCTTTCCAAAACAAATGACTAACAATTAAAAGCCTATCACATATTGTATGCCTGACATAAACAGAAGATGGAGTTTCCACATTTTGTTCAACCATATATTCATGTAATTACAGTTTAAGGGACTGCTCTTAAGGAAGCAAAGTGACATGTGGTCAATTGCCAACTTACCAAGTCCAATCAAAGCCATTCTTGCACTTGTAAAATGGTTCTGAACATAGTAGTGTAACTGAGGAAGTTAAAAACACTTATTAGATTTTATCTGTATAAATATAAAATCTGTAAAAAAGTAAAAGTGCAGTTCAACAGAAAATAAATACTCAAGTCTTAAAAGCTGCTAAAATGAACTACAAGAGATTAATTAGTGTCAAACTACACAGGCATTTTATGACAAAAACTACAGCTTAAAAGAACTAGAATTTAATTGTTGTCATAGTTGCACAACTATGTGAATATAATGAAAACCAATGAATTATACACTTTAAATGGATTAAATGGAAAGTGAATTTCATCTAAAAAAGTTGTTATTAAAAAAAGAATGGAAAGAAATTATACTACACACTGGCTTGATTCTGGAAAAAACTGGAACTAAGCTTAGTATATACGGTTTAAGCAGTACACCAGGTTTCTGTCTTATTCAGGTAGTAATAAAGCATGATTAACATCCTCTAGCAGAGCTCGCAGAATGACAACACAACAGCCCTCTTGCCCATCTTTAGAGTCAGTGTCTACAAAGCTTTTCTTGCTGTGAAGTCACTGTCTATACCAGGGTTTCTAACCTGGATGATCACAGAATCACTTAGGAAGTTTAAAAAACAAAGTCAGGGACCAGCAGATGGCATGGTGGTTAAGCATCTGGATCCCACATGGCTGAACTGAACTTTGAGTCCCAGACCCAGTGGTTTGAGAAATACTCTAGGCTCATGTGAATACAAGCCCAAAATCCTGAAGAGAAGAATGGAGAAGGGATTGTGGCAGGGCCAAGCCCTCTAGTGGGTGATTTCTCACTTTCTCTCTCTGGCAAGTTCATGTGTCCTATGGCAAAAATCTAAAAACAAAAAAACACAAAAAAGGAAACTGTCATTGTCCATCAACTCCTATCTCACTCCTGGGACCCCCTTCCCTACAGACTGATATAATAGATTCAATGGAGAACCTTAGCATCTTTGTTTAAAACTAAATACTCCTCCATCCAATCAACTACACCAAGGTCACCAAAGGGATTAGTGAAATTTGGAAATCAATGTTTTATACTATTACCTCAAGCTTAGGCTTAATATATAAAACTAGGGCTAAAACATGCATTCTTAATATAGTGATTATCACCTCCAGAGGGTCAAAATCAGCTCCTGGGGGTAAGGCAAGAAAAAAAAAAATTGTACTCCTTTTATGTATACAGCACAAATATACATGTGGTAGGTAAGCAGATACACAGTGTATTTGTGGTATGAAAAATCCATTTGAGGGGCTGGTAGGTGGCAAGGTAGTTAAGGCGGCTGGACTCCTACACGGCTGACCGCAGTTTGAGTTTCGGACCTGGCAGCTTGCTTTCTCATTTTCCTTCTGCCTTTCTTTTTGGCCATAAAAAATAAATTGACAAGGAATAAAATTAAATAATTCTTTTAAAAAAAAAAGAAAAATCCATTTGAGGAGTTTAGGATAAAATATCTAGAAAGGCTCCTTGGGGAAGGAAGGGGCTAATATTGAGAATCACTGGGCTAAAGTAAGGAGACTGATTTTCCAGTTTATGAGACTGAGTGTCCTGGAATGAACAGCATCTACCTCTCAGGGTTCATCTCGGAAAGCCATCCTTTTTTCTTTTTATTGATGTTTTTCTATGGATGCTACCTTTGAGCACCAATTTTCTTAGAATTTCCTTTAGCCTAAGACACATTTAAAAAATAAAATGACTTTGAGAAAACCAAGTTATCTTAGTTAATATCTTTGTTTTTGTTGGTAATACAAGCATACATTTTCTTTTCTATTTTTGGGGGAGATTTTTGCTGTAGGGCATGTTCACTCACTGGACAGAAAGTGACAGACAGAAAGTGAGAAATCACCCCCCCAGGGGGATGATCAGGCTGCAGTTCCTTCTTCTTCAGTCTTCTCTTGGGATTTTAGGCATGCACACACATGCCTGGCATGAGTTTGAAGCCACCAGGTCTGGGCCTCGAACTGCGGTCAACCATGTGGGAGCCCAGCAATGTAACCATTACACCATCTGCTGGTCCACAAACATACATTTTCTAAAAAAGGGACCTTTTTGCATATCATAATTCATAAATTGCCTTTTCTTTACTTGACAATATGCTATGGAACTTTTACCTATCAATTAATATTATTTTTCTTTTTTAAAAATTATTTTTATTTAAATTTATTTATTTTAATTTGACCAGAGAGGGATGAGTTAGAGAGTGAGAGCAAGAGAGAGCAAGAAAGAAAAAGTGAGAAAGCAAACTGCCAGGTCCAGGACTCAAACCACAGCTGGCCATGTGGGAGTCTAGTGCCCTTAACCATCATGCTACCTGCTGACTCCTCAATTAATATTTCTGAATGGTTGAACAGTGCTCTATTTTACTGACATTTAATGAACTGTGTAATTAATCCTGATTTTGGATATTAACTTTTCACAATTATAAAACAGTGCTACAACAGACATCCTTGTGGATAAATGTTTTGCTGTGTGCATTCTCTTAGCTAACTCAATGATACTCCTCATGAGGTTGACTTTGCTTCCTAAAAAAAATTTCAAAACCAGGCCACCAGATGGCATAATGGTGGAGGTTAAAGTGGCTGGTTCCTACATGGTTGACTGCTCGGGTTGAGTCCTGGACCCCGTGCCTTGATAAACATGCCTGGCACATGTGCATGCATGCCCAACATCCTGAGAGGACAGGAGGACTTGCGATGTGGCCTGAGGGGGTGATTTTTACCTTCCTCCCACCTCCACACCCCTCCTTCTCTCTCCCTCGTCTGTCTGTCTTTCTCTGGTGAGTACAGAGGCCCCATAGCAAAAAACTAAAAACAAAACAAAACAAAATCAAAACTCATTTAAAGTCCAGTCTTATGAAAACAATGCTGCCTGTTGAAGCTGAGTTTGGATTTAAGTAGAAGTGCCATAAGATTATAGGCATTAGATTATTAATACATGTATCAGGAGAAATGGATATACAGTTTAGTTTTCTGGAGTGGCTAACCAGAAATGAAATGAAAATAAAAACCTTCATTTCTGAGTCAGGTATACTCAGAAGTTTTGGTTATTCCGACATTTTCTCTTAATGTCTTTGGATAAAGCTTTTTTTAGAAACAGGATGGCAGAAGCAGGAAATTAAGATTACATACATCTATCTGCCCTTGTATGCCGATTTAACATGTAATGTTTCATGTTCTGGCGACAAAGTTCTATGATAGACACATGGCTATGACACGTGACAAATCCGTACTGCCAGGGAAGTAAGCTGCTGTGTTGCAGAAGGCAAATAAGCTGGTGATGGCCCAATGATGGGATGGAGTGCACAGATGTGAGGTTCATTCTTACCTGCGTATTCACAGGGACTAAAGATTTTTGGTCAAAAGATGTATTATGATATTTAAACATTTAAATCCTTTTTAAAAAACATATACACAGAAAAGTGTCCTAGAAGGAAACATACCTGGCATTAACATGTTTTCCTTCCTTTTGGTACCTTTATTTTCTGATTTTTCTGTTAGAATCATATCCCTTTTGTCATACAAACTTTTTGTTAAAAGTTATGTGAGGCTAGTAGGTGATGTGGTGGTTAAGGCACTGGATTCCCACATGGCTGAGTACAGTTCAAGTCCTGGACCTGGAGGCGTGTGTGCATGCACGCCCAAAATCCTGAGAGGAGAATGGAGGGAAACGGAGTGTGAAGTGGCCATCCCCCCAGGGGGTGATTTCTCTCTGTCTCTCCCGCAAGTGCATACACCCCACAGCAAAAATCTCTTTAAAAAAAAAAAAGTTATGTAAAAACTGTTCAGAAAGTATTTTAATTAAAAAGCAAGCTGTTACTAAAAAAATAAAGGCAAATTGAATTTTTAAAAACTAGATGGTAAAAAGAAAAATTAGAAAAAAAAAAGTGAAATGCAGATGAATGTTCAATTTAATGTGAAAATAAACATATTCAAAAGTGGATTCTGGGGACTAGCAGTTGGCGTAATGGCTATGTCGCTGGACTCCCATGTTGCTGGACTCCCATGTAGTTGACCATGGTTCGAGTCCTGGACCGGACGGCTTAAACTCATGCTGGGTGAATGTGCATGTGTGCCCAAGATCCTGAGAGGAAAATGGAGAAGGGATTGCAGCATGGCTATCCCCCTGGAGGGGGATTTTTCACTCTCTGTCTCTCCATTTCTGTCTTTCTGGTGAGCGCACGCATCCTGTAGCAAAAAACTCTTTAAAAAAAAAAAAACAGTTTTGTTAATACCTCTTCTGATGTTACTTTTCCAATCCTATAGTCAGGACAATACAGGGAATTAGCCAAAGCATTTCGGTAAGCAGCAGCATGTAGATTTTCAATGACACCTGTGAAATAAATTAAAAAGCAGTTACTGAAGTGCAATCAAGTAAAGACAATGATATTTTAACACCTAAAAATCAATAAGACTGGAGCAGCAGATGGCGTAATGGACTCCTACATAGTCAAATGTGGTTCGAATCCCAGACCCAGTGGTTTAAAACTTATGCCAGAGATTGTGGTATGGCCATCCCCAGTGGGGAGGTAATTTCTCACTTTCTGTCTGTTTCTCTCTGTCTTTCCAATGAGTGCACATGTCCTATAGCAAAAAATCTCTCTTAAAAAGAAAAAAAATCAACCAGCCTATACAAATTTGGTTCTCTCATGGCATTCAAATATGAAGAGGTCTAGAGCCCATCAAACTATTCTCTCACTTTAATCTACCATCAGGTATCACCTGAAAAGTCTAATGGCCTGGGTTCCAGGATGCCTGACTCTAGTTATGGTTCTACCCGAAGCCTTGGACAAGCTGTTTAATCTGAATTTCACTTACTTGTAGGTTCCCTCTCTAGGCAGTGAGGGAGCTGTCAGGGTAAGAGGAGATATGCAAATGTCGGCTTTGGGTCATCTTATGAGCTGCCAGGGGCCAAGTGCTTCCTCTCAATGTCCCTGCATCCCTGCTCTGCCTTTGCTTGATGTGTGCTTCCTTGCCCTGCTCAATGGACCACCTCCCGAGGACAGGCACTGTGCCAGGTGCTATAAATACAGAAATGAGGCTGCAATGCCTGAACATGTTGAGAGGAAAACTGTGAAATAAAGTATTATGTCAAAAGTGACTAGCGGCACAAGGGAAGGCTGTGGGAACTGGAAAAGATGAACAGGAACAGAAGTGTAACCTGGGATGAGTGACTAGGTGTCCCCCAGGTGAATGATTTGCAAACAGTATTTCAGCAGAGGACTCAGACAAAATTGAGGCTTAAAGTATGACAATACTGTGATTTGAAAGGGAACCACAGCTGGGAAGGATGACGGTAGAGCAAGAGTGGGGTCAGATCATGAAAGACCACATGTGCTAACCTCAGAGGCAACGAAGAGCCTTTACAAGATTCCCACCAGATTTTCACATTAGAAGGGTCACTGTGATGGTAATGATGGAGATGGACCAAAGCTATAAACCTGGGGGCAGAAACCCCAGCCAGGAACCTCTACAGCAACTGAAACAATGAGGGCTGGAGCTCAATGACTCTGGATGTGAGAGTCATCATTTCAACAATTTTACATTCTATTAATTTCTTTGATAAAGAGCAATAAAGATTACACTCTTCCGTGACACAAAGTGTCACCATGAAATAACACTAGCAACATGAATGAAGTACCATCTTTCAGACACTTCCAGGGGACCTTCTGTTGATAGGCCTGGACTCTGAGAAAGCCCATTCCAGGTTGAGCCCCTGCAGTTTGCCACCTACTTCTGGTCTACCCACTTCTGCTTTTTTTTTTTTTTTTTTTTTGAGAGATTTTCACTGTAGGGCGCGTGCGCTCGCCAGACAGACAGAGAGAGACATAGAGACAGAAAGCGAGAAATCACCCCCCAGGGGGGATGGTCACGCCGCAATCCCTTCTCCTCCATTCTCCTCTCGGGATCTTGGGCACGCACGCACACGCGCCCGGCGTGAGTTTTAAGCCACCGGGTCCGGGACACGAACCGCGGTCGACTACGTGGGAGTCCAGCGACATAGCCATTACGCTAACTGCTGGTTCCCAGGTCTACCCACTTCTGCACCCACCAGGAATTGTGTGATATCCGAGTCAGCACTGCTTGTTTCCAGATTTTTTTTGCCAGTTGTACGTGGCCAGATTAGATAGATAAACATTATGTGAACATAAAAATATGAATACTGAAAAAGTCCTCATTTAAAAATTTTTTTTTGAGTGGTATTTTTTTGCTATAGGGCGCTTGTGCTCGCCAGAAAGACAGAGAGAGACAGAGAGACAGAAGGGGAGAAATAACCTCCCAGGGAGGATGGCCACACCACAATCCTTTTTCCTGGGATCTTGGGCATGCACGCACATGCGCCTAGTGTGGGTTTAAGCCACCAGGTTTGGGACTCAAACCACGGTCAACTACATGGGAGTCCAGTGACATAGCCATTACACCAACTGCTGGTCCCGAAAAGTCCTTACTTTTAAAAATTAGGTTGCTCGCTTTGGTTAGGACCTGCAACAAAAGTAAGCTGGCTAAACAATAATAGCAACACTTAACAATAAACAATAGCAGCAGCAGGAACAATAAACTGCTGGATTTAGTGTAAGCAAAACAGTTATTGAAAAGCACTGAGAAGATGGGGTAACAGGTGGTATGGTGGTTGAGGTGCTAGATTCCCACATGGCTGACCACAGTTTGAGTTCTGGACCTGGTGGCTTGAAAATTATACTGCGTACGTGTGTGAGCATGCCCAAAACATCCCAGGAGAATGGAGAAGGGATTGTGTTGTGGCCTTCCCTAAGGACGGTGATTTCTCACCCTCCTTCTCTCTTTCTCCAAAGAGCACACATGCCCACAAAAACCTAAAAAGCACTGAAAGGAAACAGGAAAAATATCTCGAATTCTAGAGTCAACTTACCATAAAACATAAAAACTAATCAACAATAAATGTAAATGTTTAAAAACAAAATATAAAAGGAAGCTTTGAAAAATTAATGTAAAATATGTATTATGAGAACCCCGTATCTGGATTTCAAAATATTTTTTGCATCAAATAAACTCATACTTACATTAATTCTGCTTTTCTATAAACACTTTTCTCTTAAAGTTTCTTTATTTTATTCAAGATACTGCAAGCACACATGTACATATAGAAGAGGGTAGGGGAGGCACCTTTAACAGGGTCTCGGCATGCCACGGTTCCCTTTCCCCAGCTCTCTAGTTCATCAGAATCTGGGACACCTGTGCATATGTGGCAGTTCTGGGGATCTGGGATCTGAACCTGCAGTTGGCCACGTAGTTTCCATCACTACGGTTCAACGTTCAGCATGCTAGGGCCTATGCTACTTAGGCTTGCTCCATGGACATTTTGAAGTCCCTCTAGTATTTAAACAATTAAGCACATTTAAAAAAAAAGATATTTCAGGGGCTGGCAGGTGGCATGGTGGATAGGTGCGCTGGACTCCCACATGGCCCATCACAGTTCGAGTCTCAGCCCTGGCGCTTGCTTTCTTACTTTCTCTCTCTCTCTGTCCCTCTCTGGTCAAAAATAAATAATAAATAAATAAATATTAAAAACAAAAACAAAGATATTTCAAACCCAAATAGAAAAAAATTTCAACAGCATCTTTTTCCTCTACACATTTATCTTCTCAAAAAGCCAGTATCTTAGAAATCACTTAAGGAAACCAGGAAATGTGCTTACGGGCCTGTGGATTCTGAAAAGCCACAGCTTTGTCAACCCTTAGCTGAGACTGAAGAGCAGCCACTTCCCATCGACGAAATTCTGGTGCTGTGGTGACATTGAGCAGGAACTCCATCAGAATATCACTAGAGGACATCAAGATAAGAGTTCGAAGTCAAAAATTTAAAACCAATATTCAACATAACTGGAATAGTCTTGATATTAAACTTTAAGTCTTAATGTAAACACAATGTTACAAGCACAAAGTTAGTGAATAATCCAAAACCAAAGCTTGGGACTGTAAGGACAACTTTACAAAGACAAGACGTGAGCAGCTGTTTCTTTAAAGGCAAATGTCCTAAATGCATGCAGATACTCACACGTCATCCCGCAGGCATTCTACAGTGTAAGCCATGTTTTCCCGTGTCGCAGTCACACTGAATGAGAGATAAATTACGGTAAGTAATCTGAACCAGAAGAATAAGGACTCTTTTATATCTTCTTTGTCATTACCAATCAATTTCCTTGGAAAGGACATTTTTTTTTTTGGAGAAATTTTTTGCTATAGGACGCGTGCGCTTGCCAGAAAGAGAGAGACAGAGAGACAGAAAGTGAGAAATCACCCCCCAGGGGGGATGGCCACACCGCAATCCCTTCGCCTCCTTTCTCCTCTCGGGATCTTGGGCATACATGCACACGTGCCTAGCGTGAGTTTAAGCCACCGGGTCTGGGACTTGAACAGCGGTCAACTACATTGGAGTCCAGCGACATAGTCATTACGCAACTGCTGGTCCCTGGAAAGGACATTTTTGAGGTATAAGAGTCCAATAGTAACAAAACCCCACATGGTCATTATCTAAAACTTGAAAATATTCAAAAAGTGGCATATAATTCAACTTTAAAAAGGAATGATGTTCTAACACATGCCTACAACAAAATGAATATTGAGGGCATTATGTTAGGTCAAATAAAGCAGTCACCAAAGAACAAATATTGTAGGACTCCAGTTCTGTGAGGTACCTAGAGTACTCAAATCACAGAGACAAAAAAACAAAGGTGGTTGCCAGAGGCTGGGGGAGGGAATGGGGAACCATTGTTTAGTGAGTACAGAGTTTCGCCTGGGAAAGATGAGAAATTCTGGGGATCGATGGTGGTAATGTTTGCTGTCACTTAATGTCAGAGCTGTACACTGAAGAAAGAAAACATTTTATGTCAATATACCATAGTTTCTAAAAATGGCAAATAGTGTTGAGGATCTCTTTGTACTTCCCCCAAGATAATTCTTTACTTTCTCCCACTCTAGAAATAACTGGAATTATAAGCGATACACAGTATTCTTTTGCTTAAAAAATAATACATCATACCTTAAAAATAATCGTGAAACTTTTTTCACATAATTTTTTTAAGCGCTGTTAGACTGATACAGACCTAGTTCATTCCTTAATTGTAAAGTAGTCCCATCACACAACTTTTACTTTCTTTATATATTTCCCTAAAAATGGACATTTAATCACTTCCCAGTCTTGGGGCCAGCAGGTGGTATGGTGGTTAAGGTGCTAGATTCCCACATGGCCAACCATGATTTGAGCCCTGAACCTGGAACCTTGAAAATCATGCCAGGCATGTATGCATGTGTGCCCCGAATCCTGAGAGAATGGAGAAGAGATTGTGGTACAGCCATCTCCCTCCAGGTGGTGGTGGTAGGGGCGATTTCTCACTTTCCCTCTTTGTCTTTCTCTGGTAAGCACACATGACCTATGGCAAAAAAAAAACCCAAAAAAACAAAAAAAGTTTCCAGTCTTTAAAATAAAGAAGAATGTTTCTGTGCATGTGAGTTAAGAAAAAAATTTTTTTCAATATTATTCAATATTTCTTGATTCTTCTCTGAGTGGCTATATGACTTTGTACTCCCACCAGCAGAAAGAGATTCTCCATTTTCCTTATCACTGCCAATACGTGATATATTAAAAAAAAATGATGGGTGGTTTCTGGCTTCTTTTTCTGGGAATAGCCTGTTCCTATCCTGATTTGTAGTTCTTATTTTTCCAAATAGTAATCCTGTGTGTTATGTGTATTAAAGATACCTATGTAGTCAGTTTCTTAAATTTTTACTTGAAGTCATAAAGCTGTTTCACATTTTGATGTAGTCAAAGACATCAGTCTTTTCCTTCTTGTGCTCAATTAAGAAATTCTCAACTGGGCCCAGCAGATGGTATAATGGTTACACCACTGGACTCACACGTAGTCGACACTGAGTCCTGGACCCAGTGGCTTAAAACTCACACTGGGTATGTATGCCTGTGTGCCCAAAATCCTGAGAGGAAACTGGAAGAGAAGGGATTGTGGTGTGGCCATACCCCTCCCCCTGAGGGGAGGGTTGATTTCTTGTTTTCTGTCTCTCTGGTGACTGCACGCACCCTATAGCAAAAATCTCTATTAAAACAAACAAAAAAAGAAATTCTCAACCACCTTGAAAAGAAATAAAAAGTCCCCTTACAACTAAATACCTATTGGCATTTTTCACTATTTACTCCCTATTACTTAACAAACCTTAAGTTACCACCAACTGCTTCAATTCCACGGGTTATCTTGAAAGATGATGCTCCTTTTGTGGTCTAGGAAAAAAAAAAAAGCATAATTTTCTTAGTTTGTTTTTTTTTTTTAAAGAATTATTTCATTTAATTTTATTTATATTTGACCAAAGAGGGACAGAGTGGTGGTAGGGGAGTGAGAAAGCAAGTCACTGGGTCCGGGACTTGAACTGCAGTTGGCCATGTGGGAGTCCAGCGCCCTTAACCACCAGGCCACCTGCCGGCCCCATTTTCTTAGTTTTTTATCCTAAGTTTTCCAATCAAAATCACTGTCTCATTGCCATTAGCTGATTTAGAAAGAACTTGACTAAGTAAATAGTCAAGTTATGTGAACCAGAAGAAGAAGCTTTCCTATCTTTGTTATAACCAACCAATTTCTTTGGGGGGGAAAAAAATGTATAAAAGAGTACAATAATAATAAAACAAAAGCCTACATATTCATCATCTAAAACTTGAATTAAATTCTAATAAATGATTAATTCTTTTAAATTTAACATGAGAACTAATTATTTTTAGGTAGGAATTACAAAGTAAGGTTCAACAAAAGCGCAAGTATAGATATTTATATAAAGTACAGTAATAATTCCATTATCAAATACAAGCCAACTGGATTTATTACTCTACTCTGAAACTTACATAGGGGAAAGGAGTAATTTTCTTTTGATTTTTGGTACCCCGCTCCCCCTGACATTTATGTTCTAATAACAACTTTTAGCCAGATATCAAGGTGATACTTTTCTGTGGCAAAATATCTTATGTTTCTCATTTATATTGAGGGGCTGGACTGGGTTGTTTCCCCCTGTCTCCCAAATACACGCCTGGCCAGAATGCGACTTTATTTGTAAATAGGGTCTTTTCAGAGACTTAAGTACTTAAGATGAGTTCATATAGATTGGGCTGAGCCATAAATCCTATATGACTGCTGTTCTCCTAAGAGACAAATCTGGACACAAGGACACAGACTGAAGGAAGGCTATGTGTCAATGGATAAGAGACTGAAGTGAGGTGGCAGCAAGTCAAGGAACAAAAGATTGATGGTTGGGGCTAGCAGGGGGCGGCGTGGTGGTTAAGGCGCTGGACACTCCCACATGGCTGACCAGTCAGCCGAACCTGGTGACTTGCTTTCCCACTTTCTCTTTGTGTCTCTCTCTGGTCTAACTAAAATAAATAAATGAATGAATAAATAAAACTAAAATAAACAATTCCTAAAAAAAATACATTGCTGGCAACTACCCAAGGCTAGAAAGAGGCAAGGAAGTATTCTACTTTAGAGCTTTCAAAGGGAACATGGCCCTACTGACACCCTGACTTTGACTCCTGCCTCTAGAACCATGACAAATAACTTTTTTCTTATTTTTCTTTATTCATGATAGAATGTATGCATGTGAGACTAATGGGAAGTGAGACAGACATGAACATCTCATGCAGGGTCTGGTCTTGCTGCGATCCCCTTTCTCCAGTCCTCTAGCCTGTTGGACCTGGAGCACTTGCACACAATGCCTGGTGAGGTTCGAGCTGGGCCAGGATTTGCTGTGATTGCCATGTGGGACCTGGTTTCACTCAAGCAGTGCATTGTTGCTGTGCCACAGAGCCGGCCTGAAATTTCTTTGGTTTAAGTCATCTGTTTCATGGATCAAGATACCAAAGCATTTCCAGACAACAAGGTAGTAAAGATACTTACCAAATTGGATGCAAGACGGAGCAAATGAGAGGTTCCCAAATTGTTGGAGTCCTCATATCTACTGCCTGCTTTAATGAACAATCCAATTCTTGACGCAGGAGCATAGTTTTCCAGAGAAGCAATCACTAAGCCATTAGGTAATTTGGTAAACTGTGTTGAAATAAAGCAGATGTATGATTAAAGTCTTTTTATTACCAAGAAGAGTAGGGTCTGTGTGGGTTTCAGTGAGCAGCTTAGTGGGACTCACCTCAAGGTCCTGAGGATGTGGAAGAGCTCCAGTAGGCGCAGCTGTGGCTTTCGCTTTGGGGGCAACTTTGAGGGAATAAAATCTCTAAACACAAAAAGATTACACATTTCTTATAAGAATGGTACTGACTGTAACAGCCTCCATTTTGCATAATATCTACTGTGGATTTATTAACCTACCAGTTTATCCAAGCCATTTTTTTTTTTTCTGGCGAGTTTTTTGCTAAAGGGCATGTGGGCTCACCAGAGAGACAGCCAAGAAATCACCCCCCAAGGATGATGACCACACTGCAATCCTTTCTCTTCTATTCTCCTTCCAGGACCTTGGCATGCACGCACATGCACCTGGCTTGAGTTTGAAGCCACTGGGTTTGGAACTCAAACCACGGTTGGCCATCAACCCTAACCCTAAACCCCCTTGTGAGTCCAGTGATGTAAGCACTTCACCATCTGTTAGCTCCTACCCAAGCCATTCTTTTTTTTTTTTTTTTTTGGTTTGCTATAGGGCGCATGCGTTGGCCAGACACAGACAGAGATACAGAAAGCGAGAAATCACCCCCCAGGAGGGATGGCCACACCGCAATCCCTTCTCCTCCATTCTCCTCTCGGGATCTTGTGCACATATGCACACACGACTGGCGTGATTTTTAAGTCACTGGGTCCGGGACATGAACTGCGGTCGACTACGTGAGAGTCCAGCGACATAGCCATTACGCTAACTGCTGGTCCCCCCAAGCCATTCTTAAACCTCTTTGTTTTACTATATAAAGAAATGTATTTTCTCTTAAATTTAAAATATCTTATTAAAGTTTCAAGTGGTTTCTTCTAGCTCTAGTGCTTAGAATTTTTTTTGTGTTGGATTGCCACATTCAAATTCTTCTATAGATTTCAGTACTAATGCTTCCTTTATCTGCCCAGAGTCTCACCTACTTAGTTATTTTCCTATTGTAATGACTTATTCTCCTTAATCATGTCATTAACTTTTAGAAAAGACAAAAATACAACAGCTTTCTCAGAGCCCTCAATGTTTGTCCTTTTATCTTCACTCTCTTGTGCACTACATATACTAAGACAGACCAAATCAAGGGTTTTTCCTTCTTGGGATGAATAAAAATTTAGTTCATCCTGACATTAACAATATCTTCGTCCACAGCAGATTCTGAATAAATAATATTGCAGTTATTGGTAGGGTAAAAGGTCATCTGATATTTCAGATAATGGATCTCAAACTCTTACTTTTTATTTGGTTTCTTTGAGCAAATGATATACAGAGGCATAAGGTATTCTGATTACGACCAAAGCTCCCGAGGTTACTAGTGGAGATGCTGGGTAAATAAAATTGGTGCTCCCAGGAACCAATGAATACCTTGTTGGAGTTTCTGGTGAACCTCCACTTCAGAGGCTGTAATGTTTCCATTCTGTGCTGTCCAGAGCTGTTTGCTATACAGCTACCACCAGTGCTGTACTAAGTCGGCCACTGCTTATCACTTAGTATTGCTTCTTAATTATAAAAAATTGGCTTTGCTTTATTATCATCAATTTAGATGGCCAGATATGATAACAGTTGTGACTTTGGTTTTTGCTTTTCCAAAAAGTAAATTTTAAGAAACATGGGCATAGCACATTCAAATGAAAATACTCCATAGTTCTATAATATTTCCATTGCCAACAGAGACTTAATTGTCTTCCACTCAGACGTTTCTGAAATAGTGACACTTTATTGGTCATTTCTTATATGCCCCATTCAGGTCCACAATTATCTTGACGGAGTGAAAGGAAGAGCGAGAGAGAGAGTGAGAAAGCAAGCCGCCAGGCCCCAGACCCAAACTGTGGTTGGCCACATGGGAGTCCAGCGCCCTTAACCAAAACACCACCTGCTGTCCCCGCAGGTCTGGAATTATTCTGATAATTATTACAATTATTGAAGGTTTTTTTAATTACCAAAGGGTGTATACTCTGGACAGAGAGAGAAAGGGAGAAAGACACCCTCCTCCCCCAAGGGTGTAGTCATGCCACAATTAATTTTCCTCCATTTCTCCATCAGGCACGTGTGCCTCCTCGGCGGGTTTCTCAAGCCACTGGGCCAGGATTCAACCATGGTGGAACCTGGATCTCTTTAACTACTAGGCATGTGGGGCTGGCCCCAAGTATTTTGTTTTGGTAACAAAGTATGTATGCTTATTTTCATTGAAACTAAGTGTTTCAATTACAACAGAAGCACAAACACTTGCTTTCAACTTGACTGTTTACTTTGGTCCTCTCATTTTTATTTATTTATTTTAGAGATTTTTGCCTTAGGGCGCATGTGCTCCAGGAGGGGCTCAGAGACAGTGAGAGGGAAAGTGAAAAATCACCTCCCAGGAGGGATAGCCACACCACAATCCCTTCACTCCCATTCTCCTCCCAGGATTTGGGCACTCAAACGCACATGCCTGACATGGTCTTTAAGGTGCCCAGTACAGAACCCTGGAGTCGCCCACGTGAGATCCAGTGCCTTAACCACCATACCACCTGCCCTGAGTTCTTTTTTTCTATAGGTAGATGGAATGGAGGCGATTTGGGGGTCTAACTAGGCTGCACTCAAAAGGGCTGTTAATCATTGGTTTGTCTAGGTAGGCCTGGAAGGGCCACACCACTACAGTCTGGGATTTATGGAACTGCACACTCCGCAGTCCATCTGCTTAAACATAAAGCACAGGGAAATTCCATTTTTCCTCAAGGCATTGGCATTTTAGGCTGGGTAATTCTTCATCGTAGGGTGCTGTTTTTGTGCACTGTAGGTGTTTAACAGCACCACAGGCCTCTAGATGCCAGAAGCACCCTTCCCACAAATTGTGATAACCACAAATGTCTCCAGACATTGCTAACTGTTCAAGTCGTCTCACACTGAAATGAAGAAAAATTCCCTCTTTCCCCTCCTCAGTCATGTTAATTAACACTGACGCTTGAGCGACGTTTAAGTTTAATTAGGGCTGGCAGGGGGAGCTTTTATGCTAAGCAACTTCTGAGAGTAGCCCAACCACCACCCGAAATCAACTCCAGACCGAGAAATGCACCGGTTATACCGCGGGACACCATAATAACTAGCGATAAAGCCCGAGGCACTGTGATAAGCGCCGTACCCGACACTAACTCATACCGAATACTTTTTTCCGCAAACCCACTAACTGCTGGGGAAACATGTTCCGCAACAAACCGAGGAGCAGAAGCCCCTCCCGATGAGGCAGGCAGGGGGCTGGATCTCCCGCCCTCCCCGGCGCTAGCTGTCTCCTCTGCAGGAGTGACCTTCGGCAGCCTCTCCACGGAGTCGCTTCCCCTCCGCTCCCGAGTCCTGTCCGTCTCTTCAGGCTTCCGGACGTCAGGGCTCTCCTGCCCACAGCACGAGCGGGCCGCCCAGAGCCTGGCCCGGCCGGCAGCCCGCTTCACTCCGCAGGGTTCAGGTGAAGGACAGACGGAAGTCCAAGGCTCGGGATTGCAAACCAGGTACCTCCGGTCCGTATCATCCTGCTAACAAAAGACTGTCCTCATCCCTTCCCCAAACCCGCCCGCGGTGCTCACCGAGAAGGTCCCGGCTCTCGTCAGTAGCTTCATGGCCCAGGACAGCTCTGACCCTCTGTCACTGCCGGCTTGAAGGAAAGCAAGATGGTGGCGGAGGACCGGAGCTTCCCAGCGCTCCCCGCGGGCGCGCTTTCCCACGCCCCTTTCGTGAGGGGCCTCTCTATACGAACTGCACTCTACTGCTCCCTGCCCGGGGCGCTAGTGCAGTTCCTCCGAGACCTGGGAGCGTGAGGTGCGTCATTTCGTAAGTAAATGTGCAGGACCTAATGGGGGTCTTTTCCTGGCCTGAGTAGCCACTCGAGTCCTTTTCTAGCTGCGTCCTCGACCGCCCTTTATCCCCCCCGCCCTTTGGATTCTCCCGACCTCGATGGCCCAATGGAACGGCGCCTTTCCCGGACTCCACGCCCCTCTGCGTCCTTCTCCAGGCCCTGGAAACAGTGGTTTCCGGTTCTTCCCTGTCCGCTCCGTGCGAAGGTTTTGGACCTCGAATACAGCCGTGACTCCCTCTCCTCGGTTGAAATCCTCACTACGTCATTAGCTCGGTGAGAGCACAGGTCTTTTCCAACGCGTTCTCTGCCGTCCCCCCTAAAACAGCGGGGCATCGTCACACCTAAGGGCTCCTGCGCCCATGAATCTACAGCCTAGGCTGGAATGACAGAAAATAAGACCTGTAGTTTCTTTGTAAGCAAAATAAATGTTCTGAATGGTAAGGGTGTGTCTGCGACTCGAAACCTGCGTGTTGAGAAAGGTAGTCATTATGACAATTTGAGAGAATAGAGTTCACCCCAACAGCCGCGTGTTAACTAACGGTGCCTTTGTCAGGCACTGTGCTGAAAGTTGAGGCGGGCCCCTGCTCTCCAGGGACTTAACCATCTTCGACCTTGTAAGGTTGCGTGGTTAGGAGCAATAATCAGGATCAATGTAATTTGGGAGTGTGTTAGAGATGCAGTCTCTGGGGCCAGCAGGTCGCGCTGTAGTCACAGCGCTGAACTCCCACACGCTCCACCAGTTTTGAGTCCCAGACCTGGCGGTACCAGGTGAGTGTTCCAGCAGTCTCAAAATCCGGAGCGGGGAGTGGGTGAGAAGGGATTGCTGTGGCCGTTCCCCCCCCACCCCATACCTCCTGGCAAAAACCTGCAGCCCCCACCACCCACCCCCGTTTCATATTGGAGCCGAATCTGTGTTTAAGATGTTGATTCGCATGCCTATTAGTTTCAGAAAGTGTGTTGTAGACCTTACAAGGCATAAGCAAATTAACATCCTTTTTGGCTTATGTCTGAATTGGTCCATGCCAACAACTTTCCTTGCCTAACCATCATCTATTTTAAGATCTAGTCATTAAGAATCTGGCTGGGGGACCCGCAGGTGGCGGTGGTTAGGGCCCTGGACTCCCACATGACTGCTGTGGTTCAAGTCCTGGACCTGCGGCTTGAAACTCACTCTGCGTGCACGTGTGTGTGTGTGTGTGTGTGTGTGTGTGTGCGCCTGTGTGACCCAACATATGACCTCTGAGGTTTTTCATTTGTCAGCTTGAGATAATGATGAGAGTTTGACTTGAGTCACAGCCCTGGTGGCTGGAAAAACTCACCTGGCCCATGTACTCTGTGCCCCAAATCCTGAGGGGGTGGAGGTAGATGGGATAGAGAGCTGGAGGAGAAAGGATTGCATCACAACCATTTCCCATGGAGGGGGGCTGCGTTCTCTCTTTCATCCAGGCACCCTCTGGCAATTAAAAAAAAAATAAAAACAACCTGATGCCAATCCAATTTTGTGCCTTCAGGGCCCAGGGGATACGCTCTCAATACAATCTGTACCATACAGTAGTTTCCTCACATGTGGTAGATTAACACTACTGGTGTATGAGATGATACTGAGTTGGTGCATGAAAGCACACTGTTCTATTTTAATGGTTATGTATTTATTTTGATTATGGCAAGCAATGCTATTAATAAATTTCCTCTTTGTATTTATAAAAGAGTAAGTTTGTTTAAAAAATGTTAAGTAACTATTGGTGATATGGAGATATGGCAAAAATTATGCATGTGTTATACCAACGGGTAAGATTTGGGAAACACCTCTGATTAAGCACCTGCCTTCTTAAAACTCTTCGGTAAGTTACACTATTTGGATAAAGTTCGAATTTGTTAACATGGGATACAGATTTTTTGTCTTTAGGATTTTTTTTTTTGGAGAGGTTTTTGCTATAGGGCATGTGTGCTCGCCAGAAAGACAGAGAGACACAGAAAGTGAGAAATGATCCCCTGAGGGGGGGGAGATGGCCGTGCTGCAATCCCTTCTCCTCCATTCTCCCCTTGAGATCTTGGGCACACATGCACAAGTGTGAGTTTAAGCCACCGGGTCCGGGACTTGAACCACAGTCGACTACATGGGAGTCCAGCAATGTAGCCATTACGCCATCTGCTGGTCCCATCTTTTAATCACTACCTGCAAATTAACTAGAACCCTGAGAGTCCAGTCATTGGAACTTCATCATCCAACAGTTCTTGTCAAATAAGAGGGACACACACCTGTTTAAAAAGTCCTCTTATTCTTAGGTTATAACAAACACCATCATACATCCAACTTTGAGACCCAATATCCTAAAAGGGCAACAGAAATTTTGTTCCAAATGTGATTGTATTTGAAACATAATTCATATCAGCTATGTAAATTACAAAATCCTGTTTATCCAGTGTTTTGCAACAGTCCAAAATTTCTTTTAAACTACTGTACAAACTAGGAATGCCATCTTGTGCCCTACCCAACTCCATGACAGTTGCTCAGGTGGAGGTTTCTGGCATTTTATTGCAGAGGAAAGTAGAGTTCCTGAAACTGTTTCTGGACAGAACCCTTGCAGCAATTTTTAGGTTCAAAATTTATAACCCTACTACTTAGGTTTACTGAATTCATTCTAGATTCTTTTTTTTTTTTTTTTTTTGAGAGATTTTTGCTATAGGGTGTATGTGCTTGCCGGAGAGACAGAGACGGAGAGAGAAAAAGTAAGAAACCACCCCCAACATTCCCTGCCCCTGCTGGCAGGATAACCATGCTGCAATCTCTTCTCCTCCATTCTCCACTCAGGATTTTGGAAACTTGCACATATATGCTTGGGTGTTTCAAGCCTTTAGGTCTGAGATTCAAACTGTGGTCAGCCATGTGGGAGTCCAATGCCTTAACCACTATGCCACCATCTGGTGCCTCATTCTAGATTCTGGATTCTGCTTACTGGTACCTACCTCCTCTTCACTACCTTTGCTGCCCTCCTAGTCTTCCTGATGTGGGAATTTCACAGACATTTAGGCATAAAACTATTCAAGCACCAAACTTAGACTTCTAGTTGCTTTCCCTTTCTTTTATTCCTTTTATTCTTTAACACTTTCTGGTCTTTGTTTTATTTTTGAATATCTCTACATTTGCAAAAGCTCTTAAGCTAAGAACTGGAGTTAACCCTCATGTTTCTATATCAATCTTATAATTAATGCTATTCATTATGCCTGTATAACCATTTTGGCAGGAGGTAAAACTACCATACATAGATTGATATCCCCTTTGGCCTGTAAGCTACTCTAACTATGGTGACCATATAATTTATTATCCAAGTTGAGAACACTTTGAGAGTAAAAGGGAGACTTTTTGTTTAACCAGGATAAAATAAACTAGGACACTGACTCAGCAATTCCATTCTTAGATATATACTCCAGAGAAATGAAAACCAATGTCCTAAGGGCTTACACATAAATGTTCATATCACATTACTCATAATGGCCCAAATGTGAACAACCCAAGTATCTATCAACTGATGAACGGATAAATACAGTATGTCTATGCCAAAGAATACCATTGAACAATAAAAATATTGCACTATGGATGAACCTTGTGTAGGCAGAATAATGGAGAGAGAAAGAATGAGAAAGCAAGCCTCCAGGTCCAGGACTTGAATCTCAGTCCACCATGTGGGAGTCCAGTGCCTTAGCCATCACACCACCTGCTAACCCCCCAAGATATCCATGTCCTAGTTTATAGAACTTCTATGTTACACAGCAAAAGGGACTTTATAGATATGATTAAGGCTTCTGAAATGGGGAGATTATCCTGGTGGGCCCAGTGCAATCATGAGGGTCCTTAGAAGAGAGATAGCAGAAACAGACATGAAATTGTGTGTCCACAAGCTAAGGAATGTGGGCAGAAAACTAGTAACCTCAATCATACTATGTTAAGTAGAAAAAACTCATATCGTATGATTTGATTATTTTTCCCAAGTAAATTTTGTCATAGGGCACATGTGCTTGCCCGAGAGACAGAGAAAGATAGTGAGAGGGAAAGTGAGAAGTCATTCCCTCATCCCCAAGGGATGCCATCCTGCAATATTTTCTTCTCCATTCTCCTCTTGGGATTTTGGGCATGCACACACATGCTCCTGGCATGAGTTTCAAGCTGTTGGATCCAGGACTCGAAATACAGTCAACCATGTGGGAGTCTACACCTTAACTAGTATGCAACCTGCTGGCCCCATGATTGAATTTTGTGAAATTGTCAGAAAAGGCAAAGCTATAGGGAACCAGCAGTTAGCATAATGGCTATGTCACTGGACTCCCACATAGTTGACCGAGGTTCGTGTCCCGGACCCAGTGGCTTAAAACTCACGCCGGACACGTGTGCGTGCGTGCGTGCCCAAGATCCCGAGAGGAGAATGGAGGAGAAGGGATTGCGGCGTGACCATCCCCTCTGGGGGGTGATTTCTCGCTTTCTGTCTCTATGTCTCTCTGTCTGGCGAGCACATGCACCCTATAGTGAAAACCTTCAACAAAAAAGAAAAAAGAAAAGGCAAAGCTATAGAGACAGAAAGATTACTGGTTGCCTGGTTGTTGGGGGTGTGTACAGAGACCAACCATAAGTGGACATAAAGGATGTTATTGGAGTGCTGGAAATGTTCTAAAACTGGATTTTGGTGATGGCTGTACAACTTGGCAAATTTACTAAAAATCATTCAATTGTGAACAAGTGAATTATATGTAAATTATACTTCAATAAAGTTAAATAGTCACCATAACTAAAGAGAGTGGTTCATCACAATCTTCCAGAAAGCTGGTCAAAAGAGACATCTTAGTCATACTCCTCTAGATTCTTATTTGCTGTGTTAAGGTGAGGCAAAGCATTTATATTGTTACCAATTTCCCTGGGTGTATTTGGATATATACCTGAATGTTTCTCAACATATGGCCACTTTTTTTTTTTTTTTTGAGAGGTTTTTTCGCTATAGGGCACGTGTGCTTGCCAGACAGACAGAGACATAGAGACAGAAAGCGAGAAATCACCCCCCAGGGGGGATGGTCACACCGCAATCCCTTCTCCTCCATTCTCCTCTTGGGATCTTGGGCACACACGCACACGCGCCCGGCGTGAGTTTTAAGCCACCGGGTCCGGGACACGAACCGCGGTCAACTACGTGGGAGTCCAGCGACATAGCCATTAGGCTAACTGCTGGTTCCCAACATATGGCTACTTTGAGTGCTTATGAAAAGCACAGATATCTGGGTCCTAAAATAGTTCAACAAATCAGAATCTCAGGGAGTAGGTTTATCATCTGCCGTTTTAATGAGTTTGAGAACCTTTGATATATGAAGTAAGCAATGCTTCTGCTTTTTTTTTTTTTTTTTTGAGAGGTTTTTGCTATAGGGTATGTGCACTCACCAGAAAGAGAGACGGACAGCAAGAAATCACCCTCCAGTGGGGATAGTCACGCTGCAATCCCTTCTCCTCCATTCTCCTCTCAGGATCTTGGGCATGCACGCACACACACGCACCCAGCGTGATTTAAAGCCGCTGGGTCCGGGACTCAAACCACGGTTGGCTACATGGGAGTCCAGCGACATAGCCATTATACCAACTGCTGGTCCTAACCTCCATAGGCTTTGGAGACTTAGTTTTTGTGTGTGTGTTTTTTTTTTAATAAATAATTTTTTAAAATTTAATTTAATTTTATTTTAATTTGACCAGAGAGGAGCAGAGAGAGAGAGAGAGAGAGAGCAAGCTGCCAGGGCCAGGACTCGAATCACAGTCAGCCATGTGGGAGTCCAGCACCCTCAACCACCATGCCACCTGCTGGCCCCGTTTTGTGTGTGTGTGTGTGTGTGTGTGTGTGTGTTTTATCTCAAGTAACTATAGTTTCTGGAATCAGAAACATGATGTCTCCCTTCCCTAAGATGAATAGAAATTACCCATAACAAAATAAACAAAAGGCCAGTGTCATCAGGGGTGGGCCATAGTAGAGGTTTCAAGGAATTTCTGAAAAACAGATGTATGTGTGTTGACAAAGCATGACAAATCCACTGCCCACCATGCATGCAAGAGGGATTTGAAAGGCCTGGGTACAGGTCCTCTCAGTGGAACCCTAAAGAGGCCTAGGGCCTGGTGTTAGCATGTGATTTAGAGATCTAAAACTATAGGGAAAATTGAAAGCATCTAGAATAATTTTTCCAGTCAGCTCCCAGACAATGAAAGCACAGAATATTCAGGCATTAGTAAAGACAACAATGCATGAAACTCCTGTACTTTTCTAAAATGGAGCAACTGAGGCAGCAGAAACCCTTTGAGATGAAAAATAGCATTGCTTAAAACAAAAATAATAACTGAAAGGCAAAATGAGGCAGCCTCTGTGAATGTAGAAAAAAGAAAAGCTTTATCTTGCTGCTTAGAGTTCTGTTAATAGCTTTAGAAGTTATATAAAACACAGTTTTTAAAAATGGTCCCAATCTCAGATTAATGAGAACGGTTGACAAAGTGGCATACTCATGGAGATATTTGTTAGAAGGCAACTTGATGTAGAAATGAAGAGTAGATATTGTTGGGAGACAGTTCTTCACGAATTTCTTGCATTTCTGCATGAATTGATATCAAAAGGACGAACTGCCTTTCTGTTCCAGATTATTTTTTAAAGTATAATTGCAGAGGGACCAGCAAGTGGCATGGTTAAAGGCACTGGACTCCCACATGGCCGACCGCAGTTCCAGTCCCAGACCTGGTGACTTGCTTTCTCACTTTCCCTTTTCCATTCTGTGTGTATCTCTCTGGTCAAATTAAAATAAATGAATGAATAAATAAAAATTAAATAAATAATTCTTTTAAAAAAAAGTATAATTGCAGAGCAAACAACTTTTAAAGAGATAGTATCTATCTCTGGACCATAGAGAAAGTTTACTAAATGTTCAATTAAGAATGTTTCCTTTCAGAGAAAAGGTCCGGTATGTTTACTTACCAGCCATTATAAAATATTTAGGTTCCATAAAGTCAAGTTTCCTTTCATGTAACATGACAGGCATCATCTGGCTCTCTTCATAATGCCCTGTGAGAACTGGTGATCAGCAAACTAGCAGTTTCTTCTCATAATACTCCCACCATTGCCATTGCTTTAACAAAGTCCTCTGACTTTGACCCATGATGTTCATGTCTTCTAGCAGCATCCATGAAACTTTGGTAAACTAATTTGTTTTCAAGTAGGGTAAAACCTCAGCTCCCTCACAGTTCTTGACAACAGATCACTCACCTTAATCTCCAAAGATTACAAAATTTGTGCTTGGGAGTTCATTTTATGTGTACACACACACACACACACACACACACACACACAGAAAGGAAAAAAAAGATTTTTCTTTGTACTCTGTGCAAGCAGCAGTCTAAGGAAGACATAAGGGTCACTGATTGGAACTGAAGCTCACAGCAGCTTTATTTACTAATTATTTTTCCGTTTTATCAATATTAGCAATGGTCAGGAAAACTTGTTCCAGTGTTATCTGACTGAAGAAATAGTCTTCTAAATTGAATAGCACTTTAGCTTCCTCCAAAATACTAAACTCCTTTAATAGAACAAAAAAATGGAGTTACCATTGCAATCTCTCTAGATGAACCTTTTCCCCATCCTATTATGTCTCTCTCCTGCCAGGTTCACACTCAGGGACAAAGAGATACAGAAATAGGAGGAGATATGAAAGTATAAGAAAAGATGATTGGAAAACAGGAGAGGAGACAGTTCTTCATCTCCATTCTCTTGAAGAACATGGGATAATATTAGGTCGTCGGGAAAGTCATGATGTATTTTTCTATGCAAAAATGTGTCATGACTTTCCTGATGACCCAATAGAAGACAGGGTCAGAAGTCCCAATCAATTAAATTACAGTGGCCTTGAAAAAATTCACTTAAAGTTTCTGCTCCTCTGAGAATGCCAGGTTCCCATTCCACTTGAATCCCCATGCTTCCTATTAGATACACATTAGCACATCATTTCATGAAGGTATGATTCCTACATTCACCTTTCCCCAGCAAATTTCCTTCCTGGGAATGTAGTAGCCAATAATCCCTTGATGTTCCTGGTTTATGATGTTACCTAAGAAGAAAAAGATTTTGACAGATAAGTAACAGATTGGGGCCCACCAAGTAGTATACAGAATTCAAAACAAAACAAAACAAAACTCAAGTAGTTCCCATTCTAATTATCCATCCACACCAATGGAAGAGAAAAATATAAGCAGTTAATACAAAAGATGACACAACCTCAAAACCCATATTCTTCAGTATATGACCTTGTTAAGGATTCCAACAGACTTACTTCTTCATGAAATATGGTATAATTGCCTGTAGCTTGTTAAAATTGCAGAGGGTAGGCCAAACACTCTTAGGTGTGGAAAAATTGATAGTTCCATGGTCACTGCAAAACTTGAGACCTATGTGACTCTTACTGGTGTATAGTACTCTGTTATTAAACGTCCTGAAATTAAGTTCATACAAATTGAGTGTGGTTTCTTCTAATAGGTGTGTGTGTGTGTGTGTGTGTGTGTATCTGTGTTTGTATAGGGCAGGATCTCTCTAATAGTCTCATGATTAGACAATTTCATCCTAAAGAAAAAAGAAGGGACCAGCAGGTGGTGTGGTGCTTAAACTGCTGGACATTCCCACATGGCCGACCATGGTTCGAGTCCTGGACCTGGTGACTTCCTTTCTCACTTTCCTCTCTCTCTCTCTGTTTCTCTCTGGTCAAATTAAAATGAAGGAATGAATGAATGAATGAATAAATAAATAAATAAATCTTTTTTAAAAAGAAAAGATAAAAGGAAATTTGGGGCCAGCAGGTGGTGTGGTGGTTAAGGGGCTGGACTCCCACATGGCCGACTGCAGTTCAGATCCCACACCTAGAGGCTTGCTTTTTCATTTACCTTCTTTCTCTCTCTCTGGTCAAATTTAAAAAAATAATAATAACAAATTGAATTAAATAAATAATTTTTAAAAAGAAAAAAGAAAACTCATGTATATAAAACAGACATACAGTTTGTGAAGCATTCTGTCTTTTGGGGAGTGATTTTGTTCTTTGCTTATCTTTTCAGTTTCTTGTAATGCATATATTAACTTAAAAAAAAAAAAAAAGATCATTTTAAAAACAAACAAGTAAGGGACCAGCAGTTGGCATAATGGCTATGTCGCTGGACTCCTATGTAGTTGACCGTAGTTCGAGTCTCAGACCCAGTGGCTTAAATTCATGCCAGGCAAGTGTGTGTGCGTGCCCAAGATCCCGAGAGGATAATGAAGGAGAAAGGACTGCAGCATGGTCATCCTCCCTGGGGGGTGATTTCTCGTTTTTTCTCTCTCTCTCTCTCTTTCTCTGTCTTTCTGGCGAGCACATGCGCCCTATAGCAAAAACCTCAAACAAAACAAAACAAAACAAAAAAACAAGCAAAAGAACCTATCAATTTGAAGGCATTCACTGGAGAAATTAGATATGATAGCTTTTGGAAATATGATAATAATATTGCAGACTTTCCTAATTAATGGAATATATACACATTATCACACACTTAGAGATTATTGCAGATAGAATTGGGATTAAAATATTTTAATGAAATAAAGTATGTCAATAATAATGATTTGCTTTTTTAGGGAGTCCATATGTAGCCTCCACAATTTAAAATCTGTTTTTATTTATTTTTTTTAGTTTTGAGAAGTGAAGGGATTTCATCAGCATTTATATATTCAGATAACCAATTACATATAAGCCTAAATAAAACCAATCTCCAGTAGGCTTTGAGATGGCATTCACCATCTTTAGATGAGCATCACTAATGAATTAACAATTATATCTTCGGAAAGGGCAAATAGTGATAGCACTTACTGAACTGAAATTACTATAAAAAATTTTTAAAAAGCCATTATTAATTTAAGCACAAGCCACTCTTACTTAAGTCAGGATTGCCCAACAAAAATATCCTGTCAGCCATTCATGATCTGAATTCTAGTGTAGGAGATCAATTAAAATATGGTACACATAAAAAAGATGAGCCATTTCTGTTTTGTCATAAATAAGGCAGTGGCCACCTATTACTCATTAGTAGCTTTTTAAAGATAAGCTATCAACTCTGCTTTTCTGGACTTCTTTTTAATGCCAGTTCCAGGGATGTACTTCTTGGCATTCTCCAAGTACTCCATCAGTGTGTCCTCCCCCTAGGTAATGCCTTTGCTCCTGTTGGCATCTGTGTGAGAGAATCCAGGGGCCTGACCTGTCTTCTGCCCAAATAGACCACGGAGATTTGGGCCAGTCTTGTGCTTGCCTCCCTTTTCCACGGTGTGGCACTGGGCACACTTCTGAACAAAAATCTTCTTGCCTTTCTCAACATCATCCATTTTTAATTCTCTCTTTTTTTGCTTGAGAATATAGAGTAACTGTCCAGAAGCCAGACGACCCGTGCTCTCATAAAATTTAAAACATTAAACTGTTTTCATTGTGATATGTATTAACCATATGCGTAGTTTAGTGCATTACAATAGAGTTAACCAGATTTATAACTGACATCAATTCTTGGTACTGGATCAGTCTTCTAAACTTTACAGATATTCTGATAGATTTATAGAAGTATCTTGTTACAAGTTTTCCCAGATGACTAATGATGTTTGGAGAGATGTTTGCTATAGGGCACACGCACTCAACAGAAAAAGAGAGAAAGGACAGAGAGACAGAAAGCGAGAAATCACCCCCCGGGGGGATGGCCACGCTACAATCCCTTCTCCTCCATTTTCCCCTTGGGATCTTGGGCATGCACCTGCATGTGTCCAGCATGAGTTTAAGCCACTAGGTCTGGGACTCGAACTGCAGTCGACTACATGGGAGTCCAGCAACATAGCCATTATGCCAACTGCTGGTCCCTAAAGTCACAATTTATGTGTTATATTTCTTTCTTTTTCTTTAAGAGAGATTGTTTGCTATAGGATGCGTGCTCTCACCAGAGAACAGAGAAACAGACAGAAAGCAAGAAATCATCCCCTGGGGGTATGGACATACTACAATCCCTTTTCTTTCATTCTCCTCTTGAGATTTTGGCACACATGCACATGCACCCGGCATGAGTTTCAAGCTGCCGGATCTGGGACTTGAACTGTAGTTGACTACACGGGAGTCCAGAGACATAATCATTAGAACACCTGCTGGTTCCCTTTCCTTCTTTTCAAGATAATCTTTATATATAAGTCACATGATGGTTCTTTTTTGCTGTCTTTACATGGGGGGAAGTTGTATTTTTAAACAGCTAATATGTTCAAGGATAGTATAGGAAAAAGACCAGTAAATTGGCAAACTTATGTTTAGACAATTTGTATCAGACAATGATTTCACAGCCAAACTACTGTGTGTACTTCTCTCAGGATAAGTCTGTCCTCGGCTTTTGGGTACTGTCTCCCTTTCATGCTAACGAGAATGTTGGAATGGTTCACAATGTATAGTTAATTTATGATCTTCAATTTTTTTTAAAGGTTTTTGCCTTAGGGTGCATACACTCGCCAGAGAGAAAGAGAGAGAAGGAAAGTAAGAAATCACCCCCTGGGTGGATGGCCACACTGCAATCCCTTCTCCTTCATTCTCCTTCCAGGATCTTAGGTACATATGCACATGCACCTGGTCTGATTTTCAAGCCACTGGGTCTGGGACTCGAACCATACTCGACTTTGTGGGAATCCAGCAAGGTAACTGCTATGCCATCTGCTGGCCCCCATGCTTTTCGATATTGCATACAGTAAGTATTCCATAGATATTATTAAGTGAATGAATGGCTAAATAAATATTTAACTGTCTAATGGATATATTAATCATTAATATCACAAAGGTACTTTAGATTTTGTTTTTAATAATTTTGGGACCAGCAGATAGTGTAATGGTTACGTTGCTGGATTCCCATGCAGTGGACTGCAGTTCGAGTTTCAAACTCGGCAGCTTAAAACTCAAGCCAGGCACATGTGTATATGTGCCCAAAATCCCTAGAGGAGAATGGAGGAGAATGTACTGCATTGTGGCCACTCCGTGGGGGGCTAATTTCTCATTTTCTGTCTCTGTCCCTGGCGAGTACACTCGCCCTATAGCAAAAAAAAAAAAACTCTCTTAAATATATTAAATTTTACTTATTATTATTTTAAATTTCCTATAGGGTACATGTGCTCACAAGAGAGAAACACACAGAGAAAGATAGAAACAGAGAGACAGAGAGAAGGAAAGTGAGAAAGTAAGCCACCAGATCTGGGACTCGAATCACAGTTGGCAATGTGGAAGTCCAACACCTTAATCACCACACCATCTGCTGGCTCTGGTACCTTAGATTTACTGGGGTGTTAGAAAAGTCATGAGGTATTTTCCTGTTTTTCTATGTAAAAAGGCATCATGAGTTTTCTGCATTATCTTTCTTACACAGTGGTTTCTCTCTCTTTTTTTTTTTTTTTTGAGAAGTTTTTGCTATAGGGCACATGTGCTCGCCAGAAAGGCAGAGAGAGACAGAGAGACAGAAAGCGAGAAATCACCCTCCAGGGGAATGGCCACACTGCAATCCCTTCTCCTCCGTTCTCCTCTCGGGATCTTGGGCACACACGCACAGGCGCCCGGTGTGAGTTTAAGCCACTGGGTACAGGACTCGAACCATAGTTGACTACATGGGAGTTCAGCGACATAGCCGTTACTCCAACTGCTGGTCCTAACCCATTCAGTTAATTTCTACCATTTCTTTCTTTCTGTTATTTACTGTCACTTCTTTAGTGCAGGCCAATACCACTCATTGCTTCAGTACTGCTGTAGTCTCCATGCTTTCTTTCCATGTTGAACCCTAACCATCTATACGCTGTTGACACAGCAATCATTATAGATAGAGACTACTCAGGCCAAAATTATTAACAGTAACTATAACAATAATGATAATTTTAAGCATTAAAATTATTAAGCTCTGTTTAATGCTTAGGAGCAAATAGAATTGGAAAAAAAATGCAAGCTTCCTATGCTACTATACCACGTGCACAGAGAGCCACAGAAACAGAATGATTTTTAGTGTCACACATCTAGATACTTCCCTTGAAAGAACAGTAAGGAGCTTCTTGTTTTTGAGTTTCATAAGCATCACCTGGTTTAGAGATCAGAAACATGCAGAGAATACATGCTTCAAAAGGGGGAACATGGACAAATGATCAAATATAAATAATAGTGAGCAACCCTCGATCACTTAACTCTAGGTGAATACATTTAAACACTTTTATCTTACTAGGTGACTCCTGTAAGAGACTGGGGAGAGCCCCTGCTAGTTTATGAAAACTTTCTAGCCCAGTAAGGGATACGTTTTAGATAAATGATTCAGAAGGAGTTTAATATAAATGCCCAGTAAACATCAAATCATTGGAAGAGTAAGTATTCAGGACACGCAGCAGAACGACAAATATGACAACAAAATTGTCACAAACTGGCCCTACTTACATTACCTGGGAAGTTTGTTTCAATAAATTCTTTGAACTCCTTTACTTTATCTTCATTATTATCAATCTTAATCTTTACTGTCAGAGTGTACATATTACTATACTTCTTCTTGAGGTGCTGAGCACTGCCTAGGCATGCAAACTTCCCCTTTACCAAGATGGCCAGCCTATTACACAACGCCTCACACTCTTCCATCCTAAGGGGACAAAGGAGATACCATTGAGGAGACCCCCTTTCAGAGAACTAATTCTGTATTTTAAACAGAGCCAGGACGATGAGGCTTAGAATCAGGAGGTTTGGTATTGCAGATGATCACCACTAAGGTTGTATTCGGGAAAAAGAGATTTTAAAATTCAAACCAGTCAATGAATAAATTCACAATAGGAACAATTCCATTATTTCAGTTCCTGCTTCCAGAACTCAACTAAGGATTCTTGACTAACTTTCTTACCAGGTTCAGCTCTACCCACAGTCCCTCCTCTATAGTTCATATACTTAGATACATCTATTGACCCGTGTTCCTGGCTCTAACTAATTCCATCCCATACCCTTTGGAACCCCTTTTAACTTCCAACCAAACCTCCCCGTGAGTCATACCTGTGGGAGGTTATGATGATAGCTTTACCAGTTTTACAGATCAATGTAATTGTGTCCCAGAGCAGGCGCCGGGCTACTGGGTCCATGCCAGTAGATGGCTCATCTAGGAAGACGACTGATGAATTTCCCATTAGGGCAATAGCAGTATTCAGTATACGTTTGGTTCCTCCACTTCATGGTCAAAAAATTAGACAAAAAGCGGAGAAAGAAAAAGGTACAAATTTCATTAATTCATAGGACAGCTCATACATCCATAATACTGATTTGATACGACTAACAAAGATATAGGCTTCAGTCCAAGTTGCATATCAACTCTTTTCATTGAAATTACATTTCTTTGGGCCAGCAAATGGTGTAGGGGTTATATCACTGGATTTCTGTATGACCGACCCTGGTTTGAGTCCTAGATATAGTGGCTTGAAACATGCTGGGCGTGTGTGCATGCATGCTCAAGATTCCAGGAAGAGAAAAGATTGTGGCATGGCCATCCTCCCTGGATGGTGATTTTCTCACTTTCCCTCTCACTATCTCTATCTGTCTGTCTCTCTGGCAAGCACACGAGCCCTAAGGCAAAACCCTCTAAAATAAACAAATAAATACAGACATAAATTACTTTTCTTCTTGTGATTTGTTTCAGCATTATTATCAGTGAATAATTTCATTTTAGGGAGAAAAAAGCCATAGTAAGATAGGTATGAAAGTGCTCTCTTTTGAAATACAAAGACTAAAGTTCATGTCTATAAAGGATTAGCCACATACAAATGGAGCGTGCATTATTCCTGATATCTAAAACCTGACAGGCATTAGATTATTTCATAGTCATCACTCTATGTGAAGAAGGGCTCAAGTGGCATTTGTAGATTTTTGTTCTAAATAGCAGAAACATGGGTGAGTGGCTTAATAATTGCAACAACATAATCTCTCACCTGTATGTGTAGATAAACTCGTCAGCATAAGTTTCCAGCTGCAATGAATGCAAAAAGGCTTCCACATACTGGTAAATGTTTGGCTCAGGTACCCCCCACAACCTGGCATACATAACCAGCAATTCCCGACCTGTCATGTGGGTTGGCATGGAGTCAGACTGAGGACAATAGCCAATTCTTGACATAACCTGAACCAAGAGGGAAATCATAAGCAGTAGACTCATGTCAGTTATTCCAAAGAATGTGTAGCTCACAAGGATAAAATAGATACCTGAAGTGTTCTAATTCATGTGACTAAGAAGTTTTGATACCTGTGAAGCTCCCATCAAGAATTACTTCCTCTCCAGCCTACAGAATCATTATACTTGGAACTCACTGAAGTAAAATGGAATACCAACATCCATAACTGAATTATTTTTTTTTTAGAGGTTGTGTGTGTGTGTTTACGCGTGCACACACACACACATTATGGGGTGCATTCATCTGCTGGAGAGGTAGAGAGAGACAGAAAGTGAGAAATCACACCCCCGGGGGAATGACGGCACTGCAATCCCTTTTCCTCCATTCTCCTCTTGGGATTTTGGGCACACATGTACAGGTTATCTGGTGTGAGTTTTAAGATGCTGAGTCTGGGAATGGAACCATAGTTGACCACGTGGGAATCCAGCACCCTAACCACTATGCCACCTGCTGGCCCCAAATGGCTAATTTCTTAATATGACTCATCTAACAAGAAATTTATCTTGGGCATACAGTGCTCGAGGAGAACAAAAATAATTCTAGTAGGTTCTAAACAATAAATATACCAGGCAACTTGACTCTGGTAGAACAAGGTAAAAATATGGCCACTCTATGTTTATACCTGAAACAGGACACAGAAAAAAATATTCTGCAATCACAAAAATAAACAACTCTGTCTTCTGACTAACCTGAATGAATGCTACTTTTATTTTTCTAGTGATATCACCAGTCTTGCTTTAATTTGTATGCCTCCAAGTTAAAAATACCAATAATCAACAAATTTCCCCTACTTCCTGACAACTTCCAATCTCCATGTCTTTTACATTTCCAGAACAAGCCTAATTGCTGTAGTAAATCTCTTCCCTCTTTCCCAAACTTCCCCTGTTTCTCTGGAGTGCATTTTCTTGTGAAGAAGCATGCTAAATAAGTCTAATTTTGTCTACAGGTATATTTCTAGTGACCGTGGGCTAATGAGTTTCACTATAGCAATAACTTAGAATCAAGTGGCCACAAAAGAGAAAACAGATGTATTTACCTACCTAAAAGTTTCTGCAGGTCAGAAACAATATTAAGTCAAGAGGCAAATACAAACTATATTTGCAACACATATTACAGAAATTATTAGCATATGGGGGCCAGTAGGTGGTGTGGTGGTTGGGGGTGCTGGACTCCCACATGGCCAACCACAGTTTGAGTCCCAGACCTGGTGGATTGCTTTCTTACTTTCTCTCTCTGTTCCTCTCTGGTCAAAATAAAATAAATAAATAATTAAAAAAAGAAAAAAAGAAATTATTAGTATATGGAGAACTCTAAGGCATTTCTAAAGAGAAATGACAACAATGAAAAATACATAAAGGATTAGGAATAGACAATTCATGGGAAGGGAAATGTAAATAACTTTTAAGTGCATTAAAAAGTAATGTAACCTCACTCATAAGAAAATACTATACTGAAATGCTATTTTTTAAAAAACTACCAGACTAGGGAACCAGCAGTTAGCGTAATGGCTATGTCGCTGGACTCCCACGTAGTCGACCGCGGTTCGCGTCCTGGACCCGGTGGCTTAAAACTCACGCCAGGCGCGTGTGCGTGCGTGCCCAGGATCCCGAGAGGAAAATGGAGGAGAAGGGATTGCGGCGTGACCATCCCCTCTGGGAGGTGATTTCTCGCTTTCTGTCTCTCTGTCTCTCTCTGTCTGTCTGGTGAGCGCACGTGCCCTATAGCGAAAATCTCTCAAAAACAAAAAAACAAAAAACCAAAAAACGATCAGACTAGAGTCAGCAGGTAGCATGGTGGTTAAGGGGTTGGATTCCCTCATGGCCAACCACAGTTTGAGTCCTGGGTCCAGTGGCTTGAAATTCAGGCCAGGTGTACATGCATGCATGTCCAAAATCCCAGGAGAATGGAGGAGAAGGGATTGTGATGTGGCCATTCCCCCTCAGAGGGTAATTTCTTACTTTCCCTCTGTCTCTCTCTCTCTCTCTTTGGCAAGTGTACATGACCTATGGCAAAAATAGAAACAAACAAACCAAAACAAAACTACCAGACTAGGAAAAATACAAAAGCCAGTCTGTTGTAGTTAGTACAGGGAAACAGGCACTCTCCAGACTTTGCTGGGGTAGTGCCTAGAAGATTGTATGTATTACCACCTTTTGCGTAAGAGATGGAAACGAGACCTTCATATTTGATTGTATGAATGTTGAAAGGTATGGAATGATATAGTGGCTATCTCTTTTGTGTGCAATTAGGAAGGAATAAGGTAAAGGTTTGTAGGAAGAGGAAAAGAGACTTGATCTTGTATATCTTTTTATGCTGTTTTATGCACCATACCTTTTTTCCCCAGGTAGCTCCAACTGGTATACATTTCAAAATTCTTTTCACTGCCTTTGCTCACTTAGGTAAATATGCTGTAATTGCTAAAAATCTCAATTCTGTCCTCATCATCTACTTAGACTCTGGGTATAATTCTTCTCTCCTTGCCTATGTTTCACAGCTGCCTTTCTTCAAAGTCTGGGGCATGCTCACTGTTTCGCCTTCCTCATTTGTCCACTTGTCATCCCACTATATCCAGGCTTCTGTGATAGCCAATGGAAACTTAAATCTGTAATGCTTAAGATCACTATTTCATTTCTTTCTTGAAATGTTCTCCTCATGCAGTTTGTTCTTCTACCTCACTAATCTGTCCCCATTCCTTCTCCAATTATTCTTTTTATCCATATCTTAGAAATGTTAATAATCCTCTTTTTTCTCATTATCATACACACTCCTGATCATAAATTATCTCTACTTCCACATTTTAAATTTCACCGTTCCTTTTGGAAGTCCCTATTGATATCTCTTGCAATGATTCGCTATTATAGGTTCCAAGTGTCTATTTTACAATATATTCTATCGTTTTAATGTGTCACAGATACCTTATAACCCACATGCAAATTAATACTTTCTTACTAACTTTCATAACTGCTTTTTCTTTTTCTCAAGAATTATTTATTTAATTAATTGATTTTAAAGTTGAGATAGAACAAGAAAATGAGAGGGGGAGATAGAAGAATGTGAGAAAACAAGGTCCAGGATTTGAACCATGGTTGGTCATGTGGGAGTCCAGCACCTTGATCACCACGCCATCAGCTGACTCCAACAACTACTTTCTCTAATCATTGTTTTATTTCAAACTCTATTTCATAGCATGTTAGATGTAATTACTGTTCTTCCTGTTTCCAATTTGGCCCATTTATACTCACACTTTGCTTTAGCCAGAAAGAGTATTTGCTCTTCCCCAAACACAGTAAGATATCATGCCAATCATTATCCCGGGGTTTGTTACTATTTATATATATTCTTACCCTCAGCTTTCTTTCCATATTCCCTACCTACTTGCCTGGTTACTTTCTCCCTTAAGTACCAAGTCAGTGGCTAGGACGAGAAATACCTTTCTGATATGTTCAACGATGCTAATACCGTCAACTAACGCCACGCCAGAGGTGATGGGTTCTTCTCCAGTCAACATTTTGAATATAGAAGTTTTCCCGGCTCCATTTAATCCAAGTAATCCAAAGCATTCTGACTTTTTTACTACAAGGGAGATATTTCTTACAGCATTTACAACTGGACACTTAAAATAAATCTGAGAAAATGAAAAGCAAAAACCAAAAAACCCACAATGTACTGAAGCACTAATATGATTAATCACAACCATAACCTCACACCCCTATGATATTGCTACCTGTGGACAGTTTTGCAGATTTTATATTCAAGGTTTGCCAGAAAATGTATAGATCCCATAAAACTCCAATAAAATTTTGGCACCACCAATAAATTCTTGGCAGGGAAGGTGATTAAGGCTCAAGGCAATGCTGGTCATTGGATGACCTTACCTTTGTAAGTTCTTTAAGAAGCAGTGGGGTTGTCTGTAATTTTTGAAGTAGTGACAAGACATTTTCCCTTTCTTTTTTAACATCTTCATCCTCACATTCCTTGATTGCTTGGTTAGCCACTCTAGCCTGTATTTTCAAGACAAGGATCACTGATGCAGATATTCTTTAGATACCTGGTTAAACTGAGTAGCTTTAGAAAAGCAGACCTGAGGGTGTCATCTCAAAGATGTCAGAAAAGGCTTGAGTTTTGAGTAATTTCTAAGAGTATTCCAAACAATTTTCTCTCAACTCTTAAATGCAAATCTTTAGTTTGGGAACTACAGTCATGAACAAGCTTCTACAATTATGAGCAAGTTACTCATCAATGACAGAGACACTTCATGGAAAACAGAAGTCACATTAACACAATTAATTGTTGTCTAGTGTGATTTACCACTAAAAACTCATAAAAAATTCAGAAGTAAAATAGGGGCCAGCAGGTGACACGGTGGTTAGGGCACTGGACTCTCACATGGCAACATAACCATTACACTACCTGCTAATCCCGAAAGAAATAGTTCTTTATAAAAAGAAGTAAAAGATATTATGTGCACAGAATGACATACTGTTCACAGAGAAGTATTTTGTATTACTTGAGCAAAATTTTGTTGGTTTGACTTGCCACTTTTGCATCAAGTACTCATTTAATAGTATTGGTTAAGGAGGTGTGGAGTAAGAGAATATATCTTGCCCAATAAACAGGCTTATCAAAGGAGTTAGAATAAAGCCATTTAATCTATTTCTTTATCATCTCAAAATATTAGGAGTTACATAGCAGTGTTAAGAGAGGGCTTCATAGGAGCCCTCAGTCTTGAGGGGAAACATTCTATCTTCCATCATTACGTTAGCTGTGGGTATTCTTTGGATGTCATTATTCGATTGGAGAGTTCATTTCTTTTCCTAGTGTGCTGAGTTTTTGTGATAAATGTTGAATGTTGTCAAATGCTTTTTCTATAATAATTTTATATGATCATATGCTTTTTTTTTTTCTTGAGGTTACATTCTCCCACTGCAGGATGGGAGCCTCATTATATGCTGCTGGCTTTTAATCTCCTACTAACCATTCTCAGCTTCTAACTATATTTTATAAAGCAAGGAGCTTAGCAATAGCCTCTTAATTTCAGTGCTCGTATAGTTGCTATTTCTCCCATATTTCTTGAATACTTAATATATTACATCAGCCAGTGTATTTTCTTACACTAGTATAGTATCTCAGTTTACCACTAGTAAAAGATGAACAGCTTTGTGCCAGAGGCCTTCTGTGATCCCCTTACCACCAGTGATATGGACTTCACTGCTAGCTGGGCAGTGAATCATCTAGTTTTAAAACTTCTTGTTGCCTACTTTCTCAGACCTCTCTCTCGGTGCTGTTGTAGATGGAATTCCTTTGGGGCTAACACCCACAGAGGGGAGGGGAAAGAATCAGAAAGTAGAGGAGAAAGCCAAGCTGTGATGCAGGACAAATAACATTATCAGTTGACTCCATGGGAGGATCTAAAGTTGTCCAAACGAAATCGAGATGACTGAACAGTTCACTTGTGTATAAATAAATTACTGTTTGTGGGCCATCCAGGAAGGTATGTCACCTTAGCAGAGGAGACTCTCTGCAACCTAACCATGAAGAATATGACAGCTAAGGGCTGTTCAGAGATAGCACTCCTAGAAGCTGGACACAGCTATCCTTCATGGAAGCGGTACCTGACCTTGCATCACAATATATACCACAGGATGCAATCTTTATTTTCTGTGATATACAAGGGAGACTTCAAAAGGTTCATGGAAAAATGGAATTAATATATGAGTTTATTTTGGTGCCAAAAAATGAAATGTATAATTTTCCCATAATACACATTTTCCATGAATTTTTGAAGAGCCACCTCATGTAGAGCAGCCACCAGTGCAAAAAGTTTGCTCCTAGCATACAGTACCAAGAACTCTTCTGAAACAAAGCAAAAGGTCAATACAGGGATTTTGTTGATAGACTAGATTGGGGATAGAGCATGTAAGAATGGGTTGAGCACAATTTCCAGATCTCACTGCTGAATACATGTATAGATGGTGATATTACTTTTTGACATAGGGAATGTGGGAACTAGCTGATGGTTTTGAACAATTAGGGAGATTCTGAATGATGCAAAAGTTAGTCTTTTGTCAAACTAAAATATTTATTTATTTATTTATTTATTTATTTTAGAGGTTTTTGCTATAGGGCGTGTGCGCTTGCCAGACAGAGAGAGGATGGAGACAGAAAGCGAGAAATCACCCCCCTGGTGGGATGGCCACGCCGCAAACCCTTCTCCATTCTCCTCTCAGGATCTTGGGCACGCACGCATGCACATGTGCCCGGCATGAGTTTTAAGCCACCGGGTCCGGGACGTGAACCACAGTCAACTACGTGGGAGTCCAGTGACATAACCATTATGCTAACTGCTGGTCCCAAAGTAAAATTTTTTTTTTCCATTTTTTTTTTTTGGAGAGATTTTCACTGTAGGGGCGGTGTGCTCGCCAGACAGACAGAGAGAGACAGAGAGACAGAAAGCGAGAAATCACCCCCCGGGGGGATGGTCACGCCTCTCCTCCATTCTCCTCTCGGGAGCTTGGGCCCGCACGCACACGCGCCCGGCGTGAGTTTTAAGCCACCGGGTCTGGGACACGAACCGCGGTCGACTACGTGGGAGTCCAGCGACATAGCCATTACGCTAACTGCTGGTTCCCCCAAAGTAAAATATTTTTAATTAATAGAACAAAAGGATGTGATAACATTGAAAATCATATGTCATAAAGTCAAATCTTGGAAAGGACATGTTCGACTTCAAAAGTGAAGGCTGCTGCTGCTTTCTTCTCTCTCCTTGAATAATAAGTGCAAATGCCTTTTAGCAATGGCAGCATTCAAATCCCACTAAAAACCAAGTAGTACTTTCTTAAGAAGCACCAACTGTAAAATCTGCCATGGCGCATCAGAGTTAAGCAAAGAGCTCAACAATTTATTCACATTCTGCAAACACTGGAAAACTGGATTTAGAAGGTTCTCAAAGTAACGCAGAGCCGGACTGCACAGGTCCTCAGGAGCTCAGAGGATGTGGGACAAGAAAATGTGATGAATCTAAAACAACTATGGGAGGACAAAGATCAAACCAGCCATAAATCTGGTGAAACAAGAGAGTACAGGCAAAATCATAACATCGCCTTGTGAAGCTTCTGCAGTGACTAGAAGGCAGTTCAAATATAACTACTCGTAAGCTGGGTCTCCATCATGAAGCAAGGAACTGCTATAAGTCATGAGTTCAGCTGATCTGAGGAGTTCCACTTCTAATGGTATACACATTTTCACATCATGAACAGGCATTTTATTTGGTCGTTAGGTTCTATAACTTGCTCGCCCTGAAGGCACTTGGTAAGGCTAACTAACTCAGAAAATAACAGTTCTTCAGAAAAACATGACAGGAGCAGTGATATTGCTGTTTTGGCCTAAACTTGGAATCCAAATTCAAAGCTCCTCCTAATGACTTTTCGATTGCTTCATTAAAATTCTTTAAAAATTTCACCATTGCAGAAATTACTTTGGCAGTTTCTTTCCTCCTCATCCTCCTCCTCTTCTTCTTTTTTTTTTTTTTTAAGAAAGATTTTTGTTAGAGGGCATGTGCACTTGCCCAAGAAACAGAAAGAGACACAGAAAGCAAGAAATCACCCTCTTGGGGGGATGGCCACACCACAATCTCTTCTTCCCCATTCTCCTCTAGTGATTTTGGGCATTCATGCACATATGCCCAGCATGAGTTTCAAGTCTCCAGATCAGGAGCTCAAACTACAGTTGGCCATGTGGGAGTCCAGTGATGTTACCATTACACCATCTGGTACCCCACTTTGGCAGTTTCTTACCCTCTAAAATATGCCATAAGTGACACTCAAGATTAGAAGATGTCCAATAAATTTATTTATTTATTTGGAGAAATTTTTGCTATAGGGTGGGTGTACTAGCCAGAAAGACAGAGAAAGACAGAGAGACAGAAAGCCAGAAATCACCCCCCAAGGGGGATGGCCACACCACAATCCCTTCTCCTCCATTCTCCTCTCGGGATCGATCTTGGGCATGCATACACACCTACCTGGCGTGAGTTTAAGCCACCAGGTCTGGGACTCAAACCGCAGTCAACTACATGGGAGTCCAGCGGCATAGCCATTATGCCAACTGCTGGTCCCAGAAAGATGTCCCTTTTAAAAGAGAACTTTGCCCAGGATGATATATAGCATGTTTTTCAGTCCAACTATTAAAGTACCCTTTGGCCACTTTATCTTTCCATGAGAGGGATTCCAGCATCTTCCTTTCACTATAGGTTTTAAAAATACATTTTCCTCTGCTAAAACAATTTTGTATTTGTACTACAACCAGTATTAGATTTTCTTTAAATATTTATTTATTTATTTAAATTTGACCAGAGGAGGACAGAGAGAGAGAGAGTGAGAGAGATTGGGAAAGTGAGAAAGCAAGCTGCCAGGTCAGGGAGTCCAGCATCCGTAACCACCATGCCACCTGCCAGTCCCTAGATTATTATTTTTTTTTACTAGCCAATTATTTCTGGAAAGTGTCTTCAGTTGAAATTTTTGCATAATATATTGTACTACACAATCTCTTAAATTATTTAGCTTTGCCTGCTCCCCATTTCCCATGCATTCAAATAGACGGATGTTCTCAGAACTAAGTCTCAAGCTGGTATTTATGGAAGAAAGCACAATATTCTTCATGTCTTTTCAGAAAAGATTATGAATCACATGATGGGGAAAGAGGGCTTTTTTGGTCTTTCCAGTCCCAAAATTTAGCACTATCTTAGATAAATGAGGATGAATGGCCTCTCTTCCCTTATAGTGGAGACATACCACATACACTTTGGAGTTTCCTGCCTTGTAAAAACATGGACTTGGTCAAAGGAATAGTTTAGCAGGGGCATCGGGTTTATGAAAGTGTTCAAACAGTTGTCTTCGCAACACAAGAGCCACCGTTTCCAAGAGTGGTCAGAACAGTGACAACTTCACAGTAATGCAAAGAAGAGACCAAAGCTTCTTGTTTGTCTGGGTGTCCTTGGTAATCA